CTGGCCTGCGCTGCCCGGTTCGTGCCATCAGCCCAGTAAAGCATAACGACAGTGCGGCACTTTATGCTGTATGCTTTCATGACCTCAGTATAGCATTAATAGGCCTCAGAAGGTCCAGGGCATCAGATGGGAAGGTGAGCATGATGGGCGCACGATCCTTTCCTAGAAGAACATCTGTACCCTGCACTTTTTGGTCTCTTGGATAGAGAGAGTCTCACTCTATTGGGAGGTCTTTGCTCCATAACCAACTCAAACACAAGACTGCTTGTTCCTTTCAACCTTATCTAAACACTACTCTGAGGAATTATGGGTGAAAAAACGTTGCCTCCAGCAATCAATTCCCTACACTCAGTCACAACGGCACACACGCTTGAGTTCGGCAGACTCTTCTATCACTGTGTTCCTCCAGGTGTTTTTTTTTCTAAGAATGATAATGTCAACTTAGTAAATGGCTGACAGGAAGTAAAGTAATGTGTGGTTTTTGGATTCACATCATTCATGTCAGAATTTATTGGGGCAAACCTGTGAGGTATGATGATTCAAAATACTTCAAGCAAGGATTACATCAAAGTAACACTAAAAGGCTTGAGTGCTGAGAACACGGACCTTATTTATCGCAATAACGCTATCGTTCAAAAGTCTGAGGTCAGTACGATTTTTTCTTTTAAAGAAATGTATACTTTTGTTTAACAAAGATACATTAAAATTAATCAAAAGTGAGAGTGAAGACATTTATAATGTTAATAAAAAGATTTCTATTTTCATGGTTTCCACAAAAATATTAAGCAGCTCTGTCAAAAGCTTATAACAGGTTTCAAAATTGATAAGACATTTTCTAAAGGATCACGTGACACTGAAGAGTGGAGTAATGACTGCTGAAAATACATTATTTTAAATACATTAAAATAGAACAGTTATTTGTAACAACATTTCATAAGATTTATCAAATAAATTCAGCTTTGGTGAGCATAAGAGACTTTAAAAACATTAAGGCCCGGTTTCACAGACAGGGCTTTGATTAAGCCAGGATTAGGCTTTAGTTTAAATAGGGCATTTAAGTTGCTTTAATGAACATGACTTAGAAAAAAAACATTACTGGTGTGCATCTTAAAGGGGTCATATAATGGTACATGCATTTTTACAAGTTAATTATACTGAAATGTGTGTTGGCAGTGCCTGTACACAACCATCATATAATGATAAAAATCCATCCAGTGTTTGTTTTAATCTCCTTATATGTTTTCCCCTGCCTCAAATCAAGCCGTTCGGACGCCCTTCCCACGATTGTTGATTGACAGCAGCGTTTCAACACAGACCCGCCCTCGCTCGTGAGCAAGCTGTCAATCATAGTCTGCGCGGACCGGCGCGCTCATTGTTGATATGCTGGAGCACTGTCTATGAGCAGAATGGCGTCTAAGCGATTGTGGTGTTCTGTTCTTGGGTGTAATAAGGAACACAGTCATTTTAATGTTCCTAAATCCGAACCGCTGAAGACGCAGTGGCTGAGTTTGTTTTCGAAGGGAATATTCCCCACGAGCAACGTCAATGCTTTCATGTTTGCGCGAATCATTTCACACACCACAGGGCTCCAGACTAACTTTCCCACTGGTTGCACTGGTGCTACCAACTTTCTCAGTTGGTCGCACCTTTTTTTTTTTGCTACATGCCATGGGATTAATCAATGCATGCTGATGAATAGTGGTTTTAATGGACCAAGGCTAGCAAAGGATTTCTGGGTAGCAGCATAAATACCTGTAATATATTATATAAAAACACATGTAATATATGATAATTATCATTTTCATGGATTTTGGACAGTAATTTTAATCTGTAATTTTAAGCATTTAACATTTGAATTATCACTAAAAAATGCTGGGTTGTTTCAACCCAAATTTGGGTCTAATATGGACAACCCCAAATGTTGGGTTAAAAATGTAATAAAACATTTTTACAGTTGAAAGTGAAAGTTGGGTTAAAATTAAATTTTTAACCAAACATTTGGGTTTGTCCATATTTGACCCAAATTTGAGTTTAAACAACCCAGCATTGTTTAGAGTGTATACAATCTATCTATTTACATTTGAATTATATTATATCTATCTGTCTGTATATTATCATCTTTCTATCTTTTAAAAATCATTAAACATTCAAATGTATGCATTACATTTTAAAAGATTAGATTATTATAATACGCTGATACAGATTTTCGTTATCAAAGTTTTAGTTGTAACAAAAATCAGAAATCTCACACTCCTGACCTTACCTTCTGCATTTTATAATCATTTCCTTTTCCTCTGTGGAGCGATTACTCTCATCTAACCGCTCGGTGTTTCGTGAGACCTTTTCGTTTTTATATGCCTTAATTCCTGAATTCGTAATTGGCGGGTTTCACCATCAGTGTGCAATGCGCGTGACGTCTACGTTCGTCAATAAATAAACTGCATGTGTCTTGCGGAAGAACATTGTAGCCGGAGCTACTTCTCTCCGTTAATGTCTATGGCGAGTCACGCAGACACTGGGCAACTCCGCAGCCGAGCCGAGCCCGGGAAAAAATAGTCAGAATATAAACACTTATTATAGGCGTACCGTAGTGATTCAGGATAAGTCAAAAACACGGTTTGGAAAATGGATTCATGATGTACTCGCTCATTTTGAACATAAGTTACGGACTGCAGCAGCTGCTGATACAGCGACATTCTGTTGCGCGAGCGTTCTCCACTCGCACTAATGCGACCACATACAATTTTAACTCGCACATTCTCAAAAAACGGTCGCAGTCTGGAACCCTGCACCAGACTGCTTTATAAACGAGGATCAGTATAAAGCTGGTTTTGCTAAGAAGCTGCTCCTGAAAAAAGGATCGGTACCAGCTATTCGTGTTCCTGCTGCACCTCCAGAAGAACTGAAGTGAGTGTAACGTTTTATTAACCTTTATATTAATATTTATATTAATCTTTGCAAATCGCTAGCTGCACGCTTCACAATGAATGCGTCTAAGGTTTACACTCAGGGTACATTACGGCATGTTTTCTATGTACGACGTTCTCAATATAATTCATAATCCCACGTCTTTAATGAACAACGCGTTATGGTTATTGTGTTATTGTGTTACAAACGATGTACGCATAGAACAGAGAGGCGGGGTGAGCAAAACTCATTATCATTTAAAGGCATATGCACTGAAACGGCGTGCTGAAAACAGAGCTGTTTTTGACCAGGTAAAATAAGTGTTTTCTTACTATACTAATGAGAATTTTTAATTAAAGTATATTACAAACTTTTAATTTATACCCTAAAGAATCATATTAGCTTGTACAAAAACTGCATAATATGACCCCTTTAACACAAAACAAAACAGCTCAAACATGCATTTTAGTCTGGGACTATGCTTGAGCCATGTCTGTGGCAAACCGAGGGGAAAAAATTACTGAACCTAAACTTTTAAGAATCTGAACAAAAATAGCAGGACTTGATTTTACAAGTAAAAGCAAATGTGGGTGGTAATCAGAATTCTACGGCAATTGCTATCATCCTCTCTTACCAGGAAAACAGGTCATGGTGCTCTAGTTGACTTCACTGCCATGTAAATATGTGGTGGAGTGCAATGCCATGTAATTGGCACTAAGAAATAAGCTATTTTGGGACATTTTATTAGGATATTGTGGATATAGAGCAGTAACATGGTATTGCAAATGTGGCTGGTAGTTCCCTGTGCAACACATGCCACCAAAAAGTCTCTAGATATGGCTTATGTTCCTCTTTCATCGCAAACCAATGAGCCACTTTCATCATACACCAGGCAGAAACTGTACATTCAACTGCTTAGAAACTAGCCGCAAAACGTCATCATTCATGACCATGCAAATGTTGCAGGATTAGTTCCACACCAATCAGGGCTCAACACGAAGGATTTTTTCTACTGGCCTGGCCCAACCACAAAAAAGTTATAAATAAATATAATAAAATAAAATAGGCCTAGTTGCTAATTGTTTTAGTTGTTTTTGATCCATATAACCTTAATAAATAAGGTTATGTCACTAAAAACTACTAGCCAAACTCATTAAAATTGTAAATATTGTTACATGCGGTCAGTAATAAAATAAGAACAAATAATCAAATTACGAGCAATAGCACGAAAACATATACAAATGAAATAAACAGTTCTTTACAGGTTTTTCATGTAGGTCTAAACTAGATTTTCAGGTACAGAAATTATAAACAAATGTAAAATATCACTGCACTAGACTTCTTCACTGTATAAATATAGATTAACCCTAATTAAAGTTATTCAGTCAAGAGCAGCGAGCGATTTTTTTCTGTCTTTTGTTTGATTAACGTATAAAAACAGACAGCTGGAGGAATATAGGCTGCTGTCACTTTAAGAGCAGCACGGACCCAATATACCGTCACACATGCATCTTTTCTCACGTTAACGTTGAATGCTGAAAGAGTATTCTGTGAGGTGCGTCACACAGCGTTCTAGGCGCACACTTTGGATGCGTGTTGCTGTGCACACAAAACTTATCATACAGCGCGCGAGTACCAAACCGAGAGACCCAGGTACTTTCGCATCTACAAGCACTTAAATATTTAAATTGGCAAGGCTTAAAAATGCACAAATTATAAACTTCCGTGAAGATGCAGCACTGGCCCAATCGGGCAACCGAGTGTCTTTCACGCTGACCCCGGGCCATCGGGCAGTCCTTATTGTCGAGTCATGCACCAAGGTTCAATACTTGAGATTTGAGGCCTGTTACAATCCCTAACCCTCCATATGGCAACAGCAATCGTGATTCTTGCCTTAGCAAGCACCACTAATTCCTAACGTATATGACTTCCAATTAACCCAGTGTAAAATATGGTTTACTTTAGAGTCTTTCACCATGCTTGCACCCAACCCGTCACACTTTCCAAGGGCCTGTAGATTAAAAAAATGATTCTGAAACTAATTGGCTTCACATTTGGTCTGGTTTTCGATAGCCCCCCCCCCCCCCACTCACCGTGCCGCTGACTCTGACATCATACAGGCGTGCCCATTCATCCTCATGGCTGTCCACCATCATGACGCTGTCCTCCTCCTCTGAACCCCATTCCGCCTGCAGGTCCAACCGTACCTCTTCGCCGAGGGAGTGCATGCCAATGGCAGGGAAAAGCCCATCTGGAGCCACCGGCACCACCACTGACCCCACCTTCCATTCACACATACACATAAAGAGAGCTCTGTTAAAGCATTCCATAAAGTTAACCACTATTTTACAGCACATTATAACTGAGAATAAAGACCGCTCATTGAAATTATGTCTGTATCACTCCTGGTCCTTCTATCTGGCCTGCAGGAAAACCAGTCATCAGAAAACAACCCTCAATTAGAAGACTAGACTATTGTGTGTTCAAAGACTTTAGCTCTACCGATTCTTGTAACCACTATAATGGAGTAATAAACAAAACCATTACACACAATGGTCCATAGAATTCATAGTTTGATGTAGATGTTATGCAATTAGTGAAAGAATGCATAAATATATGGTATCTGATTATATTTACATAGTGCTGTTAAAGTTTACACTTGTAATTAATTACCTGTGTTTAACACTGTAAATCCATTAATTCAACTTGACATTGTAATATTTTATAATATATAGCCTATACATGCATACATGGTGATATGTCAGTATGAATTTTAATGTATTTATTTGATCAAAAATACAGTAAAAACAATAATATTGTGCATTTAGAATAACTATATTGTATATACAAAATATTACCAGATGTAATTTATTCCTGTGATGCAAAGCTAAGTTTTCAGCATCATTACTCCAGTCTTCATTGGCACAGGATCTTTCAGAAATCATTCTAATATGTTGATTTGCTGCTCAAGAAACACTTCTTATTGTTATCAGCTGTTATTTTTTTGTGGAAACGTGATACTTTTTTTTAGAATTCTTTGATGAACTAAAGTTTGCAATCATTTCTTGCAAAAAAAAATCTTATTGAACCAAACTTTTGGACAGTAGTGTGTATCAGAATGACTGTGCTGTAGTGTTGTCACCATACTGGAATTTCTAACTTCGGTACCTTAAAAAATATCCATATTAAATTCCATTTTCGATACCATGGGGGGAAACTGCCCTATATACTGGCATATAAATATTTTAAATATCATCTCATATGTTTTTGTCCAACCATTGAAAGTCTAGGAAATCAATATTAAGCTTCAAATGAATATGAATGGAGTGGTTTGACACAAGTCTTCTGAAGAGACACGGTTGCTTTATATTATTTTACATAATTTTTATGTAGGCTTTTATTCACATATAAACATTGATGAATTACCATTATAATTATCTCACTAAATGTCTGCTCACTCAATGTATTTGCAATAGTTTACATGCAGCACAAGGAAGCTTGATTTTAAACTTCAAATTTAATTTACAAAAAAAAGACAAGTAAACAGTCAGTGAAAAAATAAAAACAAATAACACCCCCCTCCTTTTTGTTTTGACCACTGAGCCCCTAAAAAAGTCTATTCAGTTTCTGTAGCAGGACCTTGCACAAAGTACTTAAATGTAAAATAACACTGGATAGTCCACTTTGTAAAAATTAAATACTAATGAATCCTTTCTTTTTCTTTTGTTGTTTGATTAACATTAAATTACACAAGCTGCAGCAGTATTATTAGGCTGCTGTCACTTTAAGACTGCATGTACTGTTATACATGTTTTCTTTGTTTGCATTTGTTTACATTCACTTAAGATAACTGATTGTGTTTACTAGTGCTGCACGATTAATCATATCGCAATCGCGATGTCAAGCCTATGCGATTATATGACGCAAAATGCTACGATTTTATATGAAATAAACTAATTAGGGCTGTTAAAGCAATTAACGTTAACATTAATTAAGCATCTCTTATTTTTTTACATCCTTTGGCTAGTGTTATGATCCCGCTCTTATTCGTGTGAATGCTTTTAAACCATTCATGCGCGACAAGTCAAAAGAGAGTGCGCTGCCTGTGAATGTCCTGACAGTGACTCACAGAAAGTCGCGCGCAGTATCAAGCGCATGCACAGACCGCGCGCCAGAATACAGTTATCTTTCACGCTTGAACGAACAATAACACACACAATTATGCCAAAATGTCGTTTTGTCGAGTATCTTCATAACATAAGAGCAGTCTTATGATGGACGTAAAGAGTTCTGTCAACAGCGGCTGCTCTTAAAGGGCCAGCAGCCAATAAAGCTTTCTGTCAGTAAAGTTAATCAAAGAATAAAGGGAACAGAGAAAATTACTCAGTGCTCTTGACTAAAGAACTTTTGTAGCTTTAATAAGGATTAGTCTATATATAATTTATGCAGCTCTTTGTTAACTTTATTCATTTTCTGTATGTCCTAACTGTTAGACAGTAAGGGCACAGGTAAATCTGACATTTATTATGGGTTTATGTGAGGATTGTTTGAAGTTCACTTAAATTAAAAGCTGTTATATTTTTTGAAGCCTAATAAATGTTTAAAAAAATTGATAGCTTTCAATCGTAATGACTGAATCACTGTAATGTTATAATGGCTATAATTAATGTTTAAAATGGGGGGGGGGGATAAAATGTTTTATCCAGACATCAATGGCTTATTGATCATTATAGGTGTTATCAATCATTTAGTTGTTGTTGCCAGTTTGAGCTGACAAATACACATTTCAGAATTATCACTTATCTGTGTTTGCATTTTGCTTTAGAACCAAGCAAGTTGACTCATGAAACCATTTGTTTATTATATCGCAATCGCAATATTGACCTTAATAATCGCAATATGACATTTTCCCCAAATCGTGCAGCCCTACGGTTTACATAAATACTCGCAAAGATGGGCATTTTACATAATTTTGTGTGTATTTGAACATTTAAGTGCAATAAGCCAGGAAAAAGTATTTAATATGGTACACGTTTTGAGAGGCAGCTTTATGTGTGTTCGGGAAACCTGCGGGAATTAGTAAAATTATGTGCAATAGAGAGTTAACTCTGTATGGAAAAGAGTGAGCGAGAATGCACAGCTGGTATCAGTGTATCGATACTGCTGGAAATGAGTACTAGAACCAGATATTTAAGGATCGATATGTATCGAAAAATCAATATTTTTGACAACATTACTGTTCTGTGACTTCAGTACCAAGGCATGGAGACTCACCTCCTTGCCATTCTTTGTGAAGAACACAGTGATCAGTCCAGCATCAAAAGTGTCTGCATAGATTCCGCAACCGATTCGGTCCCCCCGGTTACATTTAGGACCGAACTGCTGACCGACAGAGTTGCCGTTGTACAGCCTGTGAAAAGGAGAGATACAGTCATTTATGACTTATAACTGGAAAGGTTCATGGAAAGAGGAAGTGATCTTTAATAAAAAATTCCACAAGGTAACCAACAAAACAAAGTTTACAAACTAAAGCATTTTGGTTAAAGACAAATGTATTCAATTATAAATATTGAAATATATTAACCCTCTGGGGACGGATTGGGCGGTACCGCCCAAAATGGCATACTTTTACAAATGTGTAAATATCTTAAAAACTATTAATGATAGAGAGATGCGGTCTTTTTTACCGTCTTCCTCAGATTCCGCTGAAAACAGTGATAACTTACCCGGCTTGTAAATATACACACTTCCTTGTTGCGCAATACCACTATGTAAACAGCCAATGAAATCGATGTTGTTTGGCAGATTCCGCAAGCAACAACCAATGGAAAAATTGCCGATGGCGCAATATTTTTCTTATCCAATCAGAGGAAGGTTACCATGACGTATCTAGCAAATCAGAGGACTCTGTAGCCTTGCAAGGGGTGGTACTATATAGTTAGGGATATGACGCAAACAGCGTTGAATGGAGAGAAGGAGAGAGAGCGAACGGAGGCTTACGGAGCGGATTATCAGAGAAATATGAGAGAGAGACAGAACAATTATAATATATATATATTTATATACATACAATTATAACATTATTTATTGTTTTAGCACTTTTATGATGGCAAGCAGTAAAGATTTAGGGTGGAACAAGCTCTGGAACAATTACTGGAGAGTGACAAGGAGAAAGCATTGCTTAGAAAATTCTAAGCATTCCTAAGAAAAACGCCTAGGACTATTTGTAAATAAAGTTAAATTTTTCATTGTTCTTTACACATTTTATTTAACAATTACACATGTCTGTCAAGCAAAGGCTTTGACAAATATATTTTTTGTTCAAAAACTGTTCACTATTGTTGTGTGATGTGTGATTTTCAGAAATAAATGACAAAAATCTAATTTCCGTTTTTGAAAATCTCTAGTTTATTGTACATTTTTCACTCATACTTCCTTTATAAACACATTACATGCATGCTTATGTTAGCTTAGGGTCTTCTGAATCCATAGATACCAAACACATAGTGTTCCATCTCCATTACATATGGTTTATAAGCCCAAATGTAAAAATAGAGAAAACGGACCAAAAAGGGCTTAGTCCCCAGAGGGTTAATAATATCAAAATAAATATCAGTAAATATATCAAAATAAATATTTAAACCCAAGGGTTTAGACAATAAACAGCAAAAGTAGACATTTTATTAAAAAATAAATTAAAAAGTAAGTACCAACTCTTAATATGAACTTACTTCCCATCATCAGCATGGTAAGCAATTGAGTGCGGAAGCCAGCCGGGCTGATGGTCAAGTTTGTAATATTGAGGAACCAGCCCGACAGCAATTGTCCCTCTCACTCCAGTATCCATAATGGTCACCTTGAAATATCATAAAAAACATTAAAAACACATGAGCTTCAGTATATGTGCAGTACAGCTGAGCAATTCAGTTTTTTATGACAATTTATTTTTAAATGACTAAAGGGCAAAAGATGTCTTTCAGGGACTTCTAAGCAAATGCCAACGGTCATGTGCGTCACGAGCAGCACTGATTCCAAAATAACAGACGGTGTAGGAATCAAGAGTTAACAAGGAGCGTTCGGCTGAGTCACAGGATGGAAATGTCAGGTAACCTGTTATTAAGAATTTTAACGTCTCGGCTACTACTTATCTCTCCCTTATATGCAAAGCATCTCCGAACAACTTCCACACCCTCTCCTCGGCAACCTCCTCAAAGCTAGTAAATTTCCAACATACAGCTATGAAATGTAGAAATAACTGCCAAAGCCCATTTGTTAATTTTCTCATGCTCATTAATCAAGTTTTCAGACAGACCAAACGATTCGTTTTATTGAAAGTTCAACATGGAATAGGATTTGTTGATTTTGAGGGACTATCATGCAAAAAAGACGGATTATTCCTGCCACACATGACTCAACTGTTGTAGCCGTACCCTTGGAAGGAGCAAGCAAAGAACAAATGAATCCAGTTATTGCACCACAAACTAAACTTAACTCTACACACTTTTCCAAAACCACAAACGGACTTAGAAAGCGACCCAACCACTTCCAAGAGGTTTAAGTCCAAGTTTCCTCATCTTCCTTGTCGTTTCTTTCGAGGATTTTCTTTCCAAGCTTTATGATGCTAGCGTAAATCCTGATAAGCCTATATACGAATGCTTGCTGCTGGTTCCAAGCCTTTTCTGCTGTAAATTCAATGCTGCGCAATGATTAATTTAAGGGCACTCAATTATATTACCACAACTTCAACAAAGAACCGTGCCATGAACCTTGTGGCTACAAAATTCCACGTCGAAGCTCCAGGCAAAATAATCAATTACACTAATAGAGATATTTCCACTTGACTAAGGACAAAATTGATTTGCACATGCACATGTGAGCACACTGAGAAAACAGAGCAGGGGTTAATCACTGTATGGCACTTCAATGTTGAAATAGGCGGTGAAGGTGCAGCAACACAGTCCAATTGTGATGGAGCGTTGGCTTCCCTGCCCACAGGGGCTAAAATGAAACCCCTGTGAAAGAGTAATAAGGAAACATGAGGACGACGCTGACGCATATCCCGACTGGCAGATGACCTTTACGGAGAAGAAGAAGAAAAAAGTTCCCAGACTTTGCAAATCTGAATGATTCTGCGTCACAATCAGGTGATGTAGACAGAGGGTATAAAGCAAGAGCGAGTTCTTTATTGATTACTCATAGCTCACTGCTGCAGATGTCACATTCATTTCCACTGGCTGTAGATATTCCCAGGGTGCACACTCACGCATGGAGTGACGCTTTTGGTCAATAAGATTGCAATACAGTTTAGTTTGAGACATCTGCTTTAAGAAATAGCCTTTTTTTACAAGCCAAAGTTGATTATTAAATTAGAATAAATGTTACAGTCTCAAAAATTCCTTCAAAGCTGGGCAGAACCAAACTAAACACAACCAGGAGGATGTGCAAAAATATATATTTTCAAAATCAACCAGTCATGGATGGACTGTATTTAATTAATGAAAATGAGCTCTTTGATTATCTTTGATAAAGAAGATGAGGCAAAAAAAGCATTGTGACAAAAGTGTAACGAAATTAATTCGACTAAATGGGTTAGTTCACATAAAAATGAAAATTCTGTCATTAATTACTCACCCTTGTGTCGTTCCAAACCCACAAGACTTTCGCTCATCTTCGGAACACAAATGAAGTACTTTTTGAAGAAATCTGAGAGATTTCTGTCTCTCCATTGACAGACTGCGCAACTACCACTTTGACGCTTCAAAAAGTTCATAAAGTGATCGTAAAACTAATCTATATGAATTGCGCGGTTTAGTCAAATTTTTCTGAAGAGACTCGATCGCTTTATATGATGAATAGACTGAATTTAGGGATTTTATTCACATATAAACATTCATCAACACACATCAGTTGTGGTAAACAGAAGCTCAAGCATGTTCGCTTGACGTGCGAGAACCAACGAGGTTCATTCTTGTGTTACACATCACGTTTGAGATTCAGCCAGAACCAATGAGGTTTGTTCTTGTGTTACACATCACGTTTGAGCTTCAGCCAGAACCAATGAGGTTTGTTCTCGCGTGTCAAGCAGGTTCGGTTGAGCTTTTCTTTATGTTCGCTGATCAATGTTAATTTGTGAAATTCAATCTGTTCAGTGTATAAAGTGATCGAGTCTCTTCCGAAAATTTTGACTAAACCGCTCAAATCCTTTATGGATCTGTTTATGAACTTTTTGAAGCATCAAAGTGGTAGTTGCGTAGCTGACGATGGAGGGACATTATAATTATCATTAAAATCATCTTCATTTGTGTTCCGAAGATGAACAAAAGTCTTAAAGGTTTGGATGGAGCGACAAGGGGATGAGAAAATGAAGACAAAATTTTCATTTTTGAGTGAACTAACATTTTAAATATTACAACTCTCCACATCTGCACAGAGAATGAGTCTAAATGCACACCTCTCGCTGTGGAGTCACTCCCACAGCATTGCATGATAAATATAATACGATATCCTAAAAGGTCTCTAAAACACAAAACATTTAAAAGTAGCTAATACTTGTTTATGTTGATAAAAGTATGTTTAGTACAGGTTTAAATTAATACATAGTAATTTATTATTTTCAGCAATTAGAATTATATGCATTTTAAATGGCCTAAAAAGGACAAAAATGAATCAAAATGACATGACAAAATATTTACAAAATTCAAACTATGACTAAAAAAAAAAACACTGGCTGTATGAAGCAGGACTCATCAGGGTAACGTACAGGGTGTTACTTTCCCGCTCCAATCCCCCAGAGAGGAAGTTCATCACACCAGCTCAATCTGCCAGCAGCAGAAAACCCATCAGAGCTGTCTCCCTCCTCAGATACACAACCAGACGGCTTCTACTGAGCTCCATAAATTAAATCACGCTTGCCCTCTCCCAAAGACTAATTTATAGCCCAATCCCTGCAAGTTTTCCGGTACTAAATCACCTGGGAGCTTCTTTTTCAAACTGTATTTTATAGCAAAGTTGCTAGAGAGGTAGCAGTAATATCGGAGTACATCAACTCAAAGGGCAGTGTCTATTTTGACGTGGAGGGACACAGGAAACATTACACATTTTAAAAACAGACTGGTCTGTGAGCTGTCTAAACGACTAGCAGCTCTTGAAATTTGTTGTTGACAACTATGAATTTGTAGGTGATTTTTAACTCATTTAACCTTGCTTCACTCCCACCTTATAAATCCTGTCCAAATCAGATAATGAAATTATCCAATGTAAAAACTCAAATGTCATTTAGAAAACTAATCCTGTCTGGAGTGATTTACAATAGACAGTAACAAAAATTCAGAGACAAAAATATCTTCATTATTAAAATTTCCAAACAGCATTCACTTTAGAAAGCTTATTTTCTTTGCAAAAACTGTATTAAAAATAGCGTGTTAAAAGGCAGATGATTAAAGACCAGATGCGAGACAAACATTTGGAAAATTAAAAACATAAACATAAAAAATTCGAGAACTGACTACAGCATAAGACATCTACAAAATCATAATGAAATTGAAAACACTGGTTTAAAAAAAGTTGAAATAACTAACTTGACATCTCCGAGCATACAGTTACAAAAAAAGTTATTAGTATGTAGGTTACTGTTTTTCTTAAAGCCAAAAGAAAGGGTGTTGAAATGATTCTAATGTTTTTAGCAACCCGACAACATAGGTGTGCTTCTTACCTCGAAGTAACAGTTTCCTTTTGATAAGGGGCGTGGAGCCACGTAGCAGCCAACTTCATCAGAGTTTCCTTGGTAACTACAGCAGGAAAGTAATAAAAAGCTTAATCTTTAATAACCAGAGCACTGTTGCTATAGGTACGTTATTAAAATGGCCAGTGATTAGTGGACTAGCTGCTGAAATCAGGTTCAGTTGTGTTTCTACATGTTTCACACTGATATGGATGACAGCTTCTTTTCGAGACGGTTATAACCTCTTCCACATCTTAATTTAAATCAATAATATTAAGGTGACCACCTGTCCCTGTCACCTGAACTCTTGGCAGCTTGGCAAGATGTAAGCTGTGGGATAATGTAAGCATTTCAATTATGTCTGTATTGTTACAATACCACAATAAGAAATGTGATAATAAAAAATGTGACTGCTGTTTAAAATAACCAACCAACGCAATCATAGAGAGGGTTTTTTTTCCGCCGATGACGACTGCGTGGATGGAGCAAAGAAATCAGTTTGGACCTCATCAAAAGTTGTTCAATACAGCTACACCAGCCACGACTTCATCTAGACACATACTGGATAAGAACATCCTGATCAAACCTGCCAGATTCAACAAAGAACTCAAGTTCAGGATGCACTGAATCTGGTAAAATGCATTTAATCATAAAGGACAATAAACCAGTCGCTACTTGTAGAAATTTATTTTAGTATAAAATGTGATTTTTACCGACTAGCCTGTTACTCAGTTTATTATATTTAGCAGACTGAATATGTCCAGAAGGGGAAAATTACATTGTAGGGCTGTGTGATTAATCGTAACTTATTTATGATTTTGGCTTCCAAAGATTATGAAAACAAGATAATCAAGGTAAAACGATTATTGTGCCACTACCGCATTCCGCATTTTCTTCCTTAAAGCCCAAACTTAACATTAAAATCAGTCAAAAAAGTGAGTGTTGTAAAATTCAGTCTACTGTTCAAAACTCCAGTACGTTTGATATTAAACAGTGTTATTAAAAGCGCATTAAGCCGCAAAAGAGACACTGTTCCCCAGGCGGCTTTCTGAGTCGGAGTCGAACGAGGATCATCAAATGGGCTTCGGATACAAGCCTAAACTCGTACACACAAAAATGTCAAAATCACATTTTTGAGAGTATTCACGTAAACAGTCGATTTTGTCTTAAGTGAACGTACACAGTTGAGAAAGAAGCCTAATTATGGAACAAAAAAGCCTGTTGAATTGCACTACTTGAAAAAAATAGGCATTGCATTAACCATGCTTGCATTTTAATGCATTGTATTTTTAATGCTTGCATTTTAAATTCAGCATGGTTGAATATTTAAGCTGTGAATATTTCAATTCAAAACATTTCAAACACATTTTCATTATTAAAAAATAAAATTCAATAATCCATTTTCACCTTTCATATTTCAATTCCAAAATATTCAAACTGTTTAAAAATACAACCTATAATAATCAACGGGCAATTTTCGTTCCATTTTATTTCGCTTTGCAAATTCGCTTCCACAAATTCAGTGGTTCAAATTCGACAGTAAATTCAACGTTGACATTCAGGAACTGCAGGAAAAGCAGTAGATTACCGAGCATAATCTCCATCTGCTGTTAGTCGACCTCACCAGCAGGAGGTGCAAGGTTAGAGCAAGCCATTTTTTGTTTCAAAAACATTTGGCATTATTTTACTTCCATACCTAATAAGCAGCCTAATAAATTACTGTCTGTCATTAATGATAACCAAACAACAATTGACAAAGGAAAAGCACTCACAGCTCTGAATAACTTAAAGGGCACCTATTATGCAAAATTCACTTTTATATGGCGTTTGAACATAAATGTGTGTTGGCAGTGTGTGTACACAACCACCCCATAATGATAAAAGTCCACCCAGTGCTTTTTTTAAAATCCCCATAAATCATAAGCACCGTCTCAGAACAAGCCGTTCTCAGATTCTGGGCAATGTGACGTACTTTTGCACAAGCCCCGCCCACAACTGCTGACGGACACTAGGCCTAACGTTACTGATCACGGCAGAAATGAAAGTGAGAGAGCACACTTTATGACAGCTCATCGAGTCGTTTTACGGATATAAAGTTTCGTCCGATACTAAAATAAAAACAGTGCTGAATTACCTAATAAACAGTATGCCTCACTGTGTGGAAGAGACTGGGATCATTCTTTTGTGAAAGGCATCAGGCAGGCTTGACTTAAACATTAGGCTACTTTCTTAACAATATGGGAGGTGCTGGATGGCAGAGGCAGGCTAAATACAGATTAATTACGCAGATATGAACATAAATAAATACATGATATTCAATAAAAATAAAAATGGATAAGACTTATGTTTCTTTTTTATTTATTTTTATCGATTGCAAAAATATTTTAGTTTTTTATTAGGGGTGTAACGATACACGTATTCGTATTGAACCGTTCGGTACGAGGCTTTCGGTTCGGTTTTCGGTACGCATTTTTGAACCGAACCGAATGGTTCGTTGGACCATTTTTCCTGCCGACCTAAATTTCGTTATTTCAAATGTAGGCGCGTCACGCGTGGCAAGCGCGCTCATAATGTAAGAGACGCTGGCGTGACCACAACATTGCCCAACATCAAATGGCAAATGTAATGTAAGCGGAACGATTCGAACGAAACTGAGCTACTCGTTATTGTGTGGTTGACGGACCGTTTATCAGTTTGGACCAATGCAGCGCGAGCCGATCTTAATCATCAGCACTGTTACTACACAGCGAAATCAGAAAGAAAAAATTTGAATTCGCCACTGAAGTAATAACATCGCTGCGAGATATAGTGAGAAACATTCACATTTCTCCGTTATTAACGGATCAAACAGCGGTGACGTGGAAACCAGGAAGAAAAATTGTGCCATGAATGAACTATCCAGTGTCCACAGATCAGCAACATTCACCATGGGTTTAACGTTACTGTATAACACTACTAACTGTAACCATGGAAGTTTGGCAGGAATAGTAGGCTATAATACTTTCAAGTAACATCACGTCGGTTTTATTTTGACATTATGAATACAATTGCTGCCCTCAAATGTTAATCTGAACTAAAATAAACCTATGTTTATAACTACTACAATATTACATTTCATTTTGTCCAAGAAGCTGTTTTGTTTTATAAGCTCCTAAGAAAAGTCAAGTATAGCTCCATCATTGCTAAAAAATTGTAAAAAAATATCATACTTTATGATGTTAGTTTTAATAAAAATATAATTAAGAAAATTAAATCAAGGAAATTTCTCTGGCATTTCTTTCTTTTTGCTGTATCGGAAACGTACCAAACCGAACCGAACCGTGACACAAGTGTATCGTATCGAACCGAACCATGAATTTTGTGAACCGTTACACCCCTATTTTTTATATATTTTATAATGTAATAATTTAACAGTTAATCTCCAAATTAATGTAGAAACAAAGACAGTATATTTGAAATATTTGTCTAACAGGTAGGAATTATACAGAAATTGAATAAAGTTATCAAACAGTTTGCACTGCATACATTTTAAATTATATTATAGATTACTCCTTATTAAAGTTACAAAAGTTCTTTAGTCAAGAGCATGAGTAATTTTCTGTTCCCTTTGTTCTTTGATTAACTTTACTGACAGACAGCATTATTGGCTGCTGGCCCTTTAAGAGCAGCCGCAGCTGACACAAACAGAGATCTCACACGCGCCTCATTCTCTCTCAACTCTTTAAGACTTTATTTAACTCATTTAAGACTGCTCAGGCTGCTCTTATGAGGATACTCGACAAAATGGACATTTTGGAGTGTTGACAGGTATGCTCTGTGCACGTTAGCTTGTTTGAGTTGAAAACTGCTTACCTGCCGCCTGCGTGCATTTTGTTAGCGCGTGATGTAACACACTTGCGCACAGCATAGAATTACCGCGAGAGCGCTTAGAGAGCTGACTGCTTTGTAAGGTTTCGAATCGCTCTCGCAGTAATTTGATGCCCCTACGGATCGGGCCCGTTGTCACGACACCCGATCTACAATTTTATTCCATATCGGAACCGATACCCGATACAAATATCGTATCGGAGCGTCCCTAACCGCTACTCAGAGTTTCTGTTTTGATATTATTATTCCGTGAGATGAGATTGTCCTGACGGAGAGCGAGCTCGTGAGGCTCCGCCCTCTGGGCCGGCAGCAACAGCTCATTTGCATTTAAAGGGATACACACTAAACCGGTAACCTGGCCCTAGCCAGATGAATTTCGCTCCGCCTAGCTTCACTCATCCATCTGGAACCGATCCATTGAAATGGCGTTTCAGAAGGCTGGGCCTTATCAAAAATCCTTGCATATGATTGGATAAGCCACTTGTCTGTCATCTTTATCGACGTGCTATTTCAACCACTCACACCGAAGCCAACCCGTGACGCTGAAGAATCCGGTCGGGAGAAGGCACTGATCTATATAACATCGTTTCCACCAACAAAAGCCTTAAGAGCCGTTCTCTGATGTTCTTTTAATGAAACAATATTAGGTAGATTGGACAACACGGATGAAATAGCAGCATCAATGTTAACGCTTGTTTCCTCGATGCAAGCCGCCATTGTTGTCTGAATCAAAACAGTCTCACGGTCGCTTCTCCACTACGTCACATCTATGAAACTCCCGCCCTGCGTCCTGATTGGCTAAACCATAAAGTTGGTTGGAGAAATCACTCTCAATGGATCGGTTCCAGATGGATGTGAGTGAAGCTAGGCGGAGCGAAATTCATCTGGCTAGGGCCAGGTTACTAAACCGGCGCGTTTATCTGAGCCCCAAAAAGTGACAATTTAAACATGCTGTAAAAAATTATCTGTTGGGTATTTTGAGTTAAAACTTCACATACACACTCTGGGGACATCAGAGACTTATTTGACATCTTGTGAAAAGGGGCATAATAGGTCCCCTTTAAGTAGCTTTAATAAGGATGAATCGACAGTATATTTGTACAGTAAGACTATGCAGTGTTATTTTACATATGATTATTACATTTTTGTTGTAGGCTATTACTTATTTGAATACCACTATTAGTATCTTCCTGTAAAACTTAAAACACTTTATTTAATTTGTATTTTCATTCTGTTGTATTTATTTATCTGTTTTGTTTATTAATTTCTTTGTTCTTATTATATTGCTGACTGCTTACTTGTCTTATGTAATGATTTTTGAGGAACTTTTGCTTAAGTATCGATTATTGTGAAATTTCACAGATATTTAAAATGACTCGTATTGTGAAATAAGAATCTGATCATCTCGCAAACATGTTATCATCCAATGTAATGGCAAAAAGGCTTTCCAAAGAATGTTAATCAATATTTACATAGTATAATATTAGCAAATGTATCTCTCTCACGCATCTCGCAAAATCACATATATGTCCTGCAACAGAGCAATAACCAGGTGGTCACACAAAATATCATTATATTTCAATTAAATGCTGTTCTTTTGAATTTTTGATTGATCAAGAAATCCTAAAGAAAAAAGTCTATTATGGTTTTTAAAAAAATATTATGCAGCAGAATTGATCACTGAACATTGATAATAATAAAGAATGTTTCTTGAGCAGCAAATCAGCATATTAGAATGATTTCTGAAGGATCATGTGAGACTGGAGTAATGATGCTAAAAATTCATCACTAGAAAAATTGCATTATTCATTTTAATATAAAACAGTTATTTTAAATTGTAATAATATTTCACAATATTGCTTATTTTACTGTATTTCTGATCAAATAAATGCATTAAGAAAGCTTAGGAGAATTCTTTAAAAATAAAAGTGTTTTAAAAATCTAACAAACCCCTCAATATTTTTGGGTGAACTGTTTGTTTAAAGTCACTGAACACGTTTTGCACTGTTTGACTCCTCAAACTGGACAAACATAGTGATACGAATTAATTCTGAAGAAGCTGGAGACTTTCAATATATAAAAAGGAATAACAAAAGCACATGTGGGAGAACTATTTATTTTTCCGATGGATCGAGTTTGCTTTTCATCTTTTTTCTGATCAAATAAAAACAAGTAGCCACTGACTTTCTCAGAAATTATAATTGTTTCAGTAAGTGAGGTCAAGGCTGATTACGTCTTTAGTACAGACTTATGGCTCAGATACACGCACTCACAGTGCTTTACGCTCGCAAGCCTAGCTCACTGATATCGATGGGGGTGGATGGTTGTGCAATTCAAAATATACAAATGAATAAGGATAAATGAAAAGCAATGCAGAAGTTTTCCATACAAACTAGGGGGGTCAACACATGAATTCCAGGCCGGGAGCTGATTTCCAAACAAAGTGGAAAAAAGAACAGAGAAAGGGTCAAGCGCTGGGCAAACCTACCTTAGCGTGTCTCCATTCTTCAACATTCGTTTGGATCGCTCTTGATAACGAACAGCGCGGACTTCCCTGATTTCTCTGATCCTGCGCCGCCAGTTCAGAAATCTGTAGTGTAAATTGATGTCATCCATCTCAGAGGGCTGTGGAGCAGAAAACAGATGGCGCAAAGTTTAAAGGTTTTAGATTGAGGATCTGAGATATGCAATTCATTCAAGACATGAGAAGAATAAGTAATAATGGACTTGCTGTTCACAAATTGCGTTAATGCCTGTGCACATTTTATATGACTTGTACTCCTTTTTCAACCCCTCCACATGGTTATGTTTAAATTTTGAGTTTTTTAACCTTTAGAGCAAGGTTTCCCAAACTTGGGTTTGTGAGGAAACCACAGGAGGTTATTAAATATAAAAATATAAACTAATTCAATCGAATATAAAATTAAAGTGAACAAATAGGGTTGTACAGTTAATCGAAAAATAAATTAAACGTGCATTTGGGAACACAATGTACATTAGGTTCACTTTATTTAGTCACATAATTTCAAAATAGCTAAACTCTAACAGTATGGTGGCCCTCCAGGAACTTTTTTCACCCCTGAGCTGACAAAAAAAATTGGGGGGGGATGCCTACTCTAGAGAATGCAATGGTTTAAAAAAAATTGGGTCATTTTCATATTTGAGCTTTACGAGCATGCAATAAATGCCCTTTGAGAAGTTATCTAAGAGTCTCAAAGGCCTCAATAGATAATTTAACGTGTCATCTGTCATCCATGCATCCAGGACATGACAGAGGAAAATTCTAAATTGTCGTTAATTGTCGATTCATTTAGCAACAGATCACAGATATTATTCGTTTTTCATAATCAGTTTACAGTCAAGTTAGACAGACACTACAGGGAAAATACCAAATACAAAGTATTTAAACACGTTAAGACTGACAACATAAATGATGAAATAAAGTATTATATATAACTTCTATATTATAACCGCATACTAGGATAGTTTCAATCACTGCTAATCACCTTGCATAGCTAACAAATTATTAGCCACTTTGAGGCCTTTTCGACATAAAATACAATAATAACACAACCGCTACATGCCCAGTTTCTAAAGAGTAACGTATCTAAATATGATGACGTCGCATACGTACCTTATGTACATCAGTAGGTAAGACGTTATAACATTCTAAGGCCACTTGTGTTTACTTTTAGCTATCGACTCCATTAGCTAAGCTACCTGACAAACTTCGCAGAAGTGAGAGCGATTCTTCCTGGATGGCGTCAGTGGAGGAATGAACGCAGCGCACCAATGAAATGCGTCACAGAGTTGATTGACAGGCGCTTAGCCAATGAGAAACTTCGCAGCGTGTCGGCGTGTTTTTTTTTTTTTAAAGCTGGGCTTCAAGAAATGCTGAGAAATGAGCACAGCAGCACAACATACACACACAGTACGTACGGTATCATCACAGAATCATGCTATTTTTTATTTAAAAGACTGTGATTGTGGCAATATTTAAGGGAAAATCTACAGTCAGCTGGTCATTATCGCAAATAATCAGGGTTTAAAATACATCCCTCAAATACTGCCACAATCACATTTGTTAAATTAAAACCAGACTGTACATAATTTCACAGACAATTAACAAAATAAATAAATAGACAGAAAACACTGATTTGAGTTGAATTTATTTGATTATTTTACTTATAGAGACATCAGAGAGACATCCATCCTGGAGTACTAGGCTGTTATACTCTCATTATTCTTAGATTTTTGACCATTGAAAACAGTGGTGACCAATCAGAATCAAGTATTCCAGAGAGCAGCATAATGAGGTAGCATTATGAAGTGTTGACACAACTATTTCCATTTTCTATTCACTATAAATACCTGCTTCCAGTCCACTATAACGGTCTGGCATTCCATCACCTCAAATAGTTGAAAAGTGGGTTACAGAACATTTGGCACAATCTAAGGGCCCCTTATAATCATGACTTATAATGACTGCATACTGTAAGCGTATGGAGCATAACGCCAGCAAGACATGATGATGCATGCATCTTATTTTTGGTATAAGTTACATTGAGAAAATGCTGACAAACGGATGCAGCAAGGTTCAAAAAGAAACACTGCGTTGGAAGCATCTACTGTAGCTAAGTCTGACTTGTAGACAGAGATGAGGAGGAAAACCGTGTAATCTGGTGAATTTGGAAATGGAGAGACCCCATCGGTTTGGCACGCATCTTGGAACATTCTCCAGCCAGAACATGTGGAAACAAAGAACGGGCCGTGCTGTGGTGCGGATGGGAATGTCAGACGGCAGGTGATTTTTGCATTCTTTGCCAAGAGTAATCAACTCTAATAAGAGAACATCAGCCAGTCGACATCAATCCAATCAAGGAATGCTCCAACCTTCTGTGGTTTGCAGAAGCTGAATAACTAGTAGGCCTATCATATCGGGACCGTTCAATGCTATTCGTAACCGACAAAGAGAACTATTCCACAGCACAAACAGAGACTCTGAAGCCAAACATGTTTGTTTTAAAAAGAACTATGACCACACATGTCAATACCATAAGATAATCATCTAAATCCTGTTTGCCTTCTGCACTCATACCAGCCCATCTTTGACATCTTAACTTCCATCATGCTTCATGACAACAACAAATAAACACAGCTCTGTCCTTATGGGACCCCTGCAGCTGGGTGTGACCTAAAAGCATCCGTTTGCATGTAGAGACCCCATCAGACACATCTGTTGGGTGCATCCTGATGGTATATATAGTTAGTAAAGCCCCTTGGCAACTGTATGGAATTTTTATCGTCTTCTACAAAAGCACTCTGTGACATCTTTGCACTAAAAGACAACTCATAAACTCTCGATTAACGGTATCTGGGCCAAAGGACAACTAAAACTGTATGAAGTCCTCCAAAGAGATCAGATTTATCTGGTTGAGTGCTGATGGATTGCATTATTAGTTGCTGGCATTTACCGTCTTTTGTACATTCCAGTGAAAACACTGCCCCAATTATCCAGATGGTCCCTTCTCCAAAATAAACTATTAAGTGGCAGAATCTCCCTCGGTTGAATCGCTCCATCATAAGGCAATGTTCTCGATCCAATCCAGGTGCTCATTCAATTAGGTCAACGCAGGCGCCTTTCTGAGTTCACATTCACTTAAAGTCACTAATTCTCTATATTTTCTAAATGCATGTTATTGATCTTATCCGCTTGTTAAGTCATGACATAAGAAATACTGTTTCCAGGTCCACGCCTGTACTCGTTTCAGTTAAGAATACAGCCTCAATAGCCGCTTATTCACTATTTATTCATATCACAAGTTTTAAAAACTCAGTGTACTACTGTCTCCAGGCTCACGCGTCCATTCATTTCAGATGAAACAAAGGACATGTGACGTTTCGGCATTGAGATAAAGGTTAGGATTATGATTGTTCAGTAAGTTTTACAGCACACGTGAGTGTATATTAGTTCTGTTTGTTCTTTGCTTTTGGCACCTGATACTGATAGAGAGTTTGGACCTGGAAACGGTGTCAGACTTAACAAGCAGATTGTGAATGTTTGATCCATGAAAATGTTTCATAAAATTAAAAAAAAAAAAAAAAACCTTTTTAGCCATGTAATGTTTAATCAAAATGTTATAACCTTCCAGTAAAAAAACAGTAGATTTCTCTCTGGTGACGTATGCCAATCATTTACTCCGAATAAAACCCGCCCCAGCAAGATCACATTCATCACAAGCCAACAACCCATTCATTGAACCAAGTCCACGCCCTTCATTACGATAATACGCCGCAATATGGAAGAAAAGACCTGTTGCTAATTCAGTTTCATCACGACTTTAAAAATACCTTTTTCTGCATCTGAAATATCATAAAACCATTCAAAAAGTTACTAATACTACGATGCTACATTAAAAAGCTTGACTTCGAAGAAGTGGCTGAGCTTTTTAGCATTCTTAGAAGCAACAGGGTTAATGGAGCGACTCTCCCACAAGCAAATGACCGTAGTCGCGTGTAATCACCAGAAAAATGGAATCTTCATTGTTACCATGGAAAAGATTACTAGAATGCTCTAAGATTTTCACAGATGATGCAGAAAAAGTAACCATCATAGCCAGAGTAAGTATCCTGGGCAAAGGAATGTTTCCAGATACAATAATGGGTGAGGGAAAACTGGATCAGTGCTTGATGATTTCTAAAAGGAAAAATAATCTCTCTCTCTCTCTCTCTCTCTCTCTCTCTCTCTCTCTCTCTCTCTCTCTCTCTCTCTCTCTCTCTCTTCTTTCCACCCCCCCTTACACATTCTCTCTCTCTCTCTCTCTCTCTCTCTCTCTCTCTCTCTCTCTCTCTCTCTCTCTCTCTCTCTCTCTCTCTCTCTCTCTCTCTCCCTCTCCCTCTCCCTCAGTCCCAGCCCCTGAAGGTGTCATAACTGTGCTCTCTCCCTCTCGCTCTCTATCACCGCCTTTCAGATCTTTAAAAGCCGCTGCTTGCCGTTTCTCACTCGTTCTCGGTTTGTATCCTCTGGCACTGCAGGGGACTCCCGGCTTGCAGCCTCACCAAGCAAAGCTGAAAAGCGAGCAAAGAAACAGAGAGGGGAAGAAAAAGAAACAGACTTCCAGAAATAGCATCAGCCACGTACGACAGAACCGAGCATGGAGAACCTGAGACCCAGACGCAAGATGTCTTTCCTTTCCAACTTGACACCCGTTGTCCTGTTGCTGATCGTCCACTGTGGATCCTGGTCCCTGGCGGGTCGCTTGGGCCCCCACAAAAACTGCCTGACCTGCAAAGACGGGCACTCCTCGGGCGCGGGCCGGGCCTCCAGGGACCCGGCTGGGGCGGCCAGCACGACCGTGTTGGCGTCGGGGGAGCCCTGTGGGGTGTACACCCTGAGCTGCGCCAGGGGTCTTCGCTGCGTGCCCCCTCCGCGTGAACACAGCCCCCTTCAGGCTCTACTGCAGGGCAGAGGCTCCTGCGCCAAACAGAGCAGGACGAGTCCCACCGAGAAGCCCCGCCCCACAGGTAAGAGTTTCAGCCAACGGATGCCTTTGCGGTTCCTTCCTCCGCGTTCCCGGCGTGCTCTTTTTCAGCGGCGTCGCGCCGTGCCGCATGCGGTGAACGGTAATCTGCTTTAAGTGCCAAAGCAAGATAGCTCGAGGATGCATTTCAGGTTCCACGGATGTGCTGCAAGCCGCTGTGCTGCAGTGTCCATATCAGAGGCTTGGTAGGATGACAAAACTGTAACTGAACCAAGGACATGTGCATAAAGTGCCGGGAATAGCTGCTGGTTTGCATGTGATGGCTGTAAATTCCTGAAGGGTGTAAAGGCATTTCTGTGATTTGAGGCTTTCACACATCATAAATGCGCACGATGAAGATCACTTGTAATAATGGTCATGGGTATGAATGTGCAAGGCTAGTATGCAAGTACAGATGTGTGTCTGTGTGTATTTGCAATTGTGCACGTATGTCATGCATATGGGCATCAGAACTATTGAGAAGAGCAACAGAGGAGATAAAGAGCGAGAGTAGTGTGTGTGTGTGTGGGTGATCTTGAGTATATGTGAGTGTCACCCACATTCTGACAGTGTCATTTTATGTCTCCATCTACTGTTTACTTTAGGTCATTACAATTTAAGAGAGCTTATATTGTCAATTCATGAGAATGATTTGAGGATCTATTCCCTATAAATGTTGGGGGTTTACAGTTCAAGTAACCTGAATCAAGCATGAACATATACTCTAAAAAGTACAGCCAAATATATGAATGCAGTCAAATCACTGTTTGCAATGTCTTTCTCTCAAAAATGCAGGCATTTTTCAGTATTGATGTCCCTTTTTCTCACAGGGTCACATCCTTCACACGGTGGTGAAATAGAAAAGGTGAGTCTATCCTTCGGTTTTTTACTTCTATCTCAATTGAGCATGAAAAAGACCAACAAAAAAAACATACTGGAATAGGGTTAATTGTGTTTTATTATTAATTTTGTTTTATATGAATTATGCTCAAAACATTCTGATAAAAACATTTAATCATTTATTCTAAACATTGCAATATTGCATTTATAAATGTGCAAGACAGGCCAGATTGTGGCTGTATAATTTAAATGGAATTTAAATGTAATCCTGAAAATCCAAATCTTATTTTATCCAAAATCCAAACTCTTTTGTGTACCTCTGGGTTGTGTTATGAAAAAAAAAATCATTGCCAGAATAGAATGGAATGATCAAAATGTCTCTTAGAATTATCCAAAATACAAATTCAAAGGTATGATTGATATGCAGTATTCCAATATGTAGTTTTCGACATTTCCTCACCAGGCTCCATGTCGTAAGCTGCTCAACAGTGTCTTGCGAGGTCTTGAGCTCACCATTTTCCAGTCTGATCGCGACATCTACATCCCAAACTGTGACACGCGTGGGTTCTACAGGAAAAAGCAGGTATTGGTTGAATAAATTAGGCAGGTATAGTTTGACCTTGCGGAAGTTCAGAAGCTGGTTTTGCCGCTTTAAATTTAATAAATGAAATGAGGATGAGGTTTTGATATCTGAAGGATATCAAAGAGACTTTTGTGAAGCTAAATGTAGGCAAGGCAAGGCAAGTTTATTTATATAGCACATTTCATACACAATGGTAATTCAAAGTGCTTTACATAGAAGAAATAAAAAAAATCAAAAGAAATAACAATAATTAAAACAGTTTAGAATAAAGAAATTAAAATAATCAAAAGAAATAAGAATAATAAAAAAATTAAAAATATATATAATACAGTACAAACAGTCGGAAGAACAGTGGCACAGTGCTCATTCAGTAAATGCATAGCTAAACAGAAGTGTTTTGAGTCTGGATTTGAATGTGACTACTGTAGGAGCACATCTGATCTCCTCGTAAGCTGTAATAAATACATTTTATTCATATAATAAAATGTATTTATTATATGAATTTTGTACATCCTTAGAGACTCAGTGAAGAATTAAGACTGTCATGTTTCCTATATGTTTGTTGAGATTAATTGTTTAGTATAACATTTGTATTCCGATTACTTTTATTTTCATTCACTAGTGGGCATATTTAATTTTGTATAAAGTTGAACCATATCTAGTTTTCATTCTCTAGTGGTCATATATAATTTTGTTTAAAGTTTAACCATAACTATTTTTTTTTTATTCACTTATATATATTTTTATTTATTTAAGTTTAACATAATTTTTTTCAGTAGTGGTTATAATTTTGTTTAAAGTTTAACCATAACTATTTTTTTATTTACTACTGGTCATATTTAATTTTGTATAAAGTTTAACTATAACTATTGATATTCACTAGTTTTCATATATAATTTTGTTTAAATTTAAACATAACTATTTGTTTTATTCACTAGTGGTCATATATAATATTATATAAAGTTTAACCATAACTATTTTTTTTTTCATTCACTACTGGTCATATACTATTTTGTATAAATCTTTGACCATAATTATCATTATTAGTATTACTTTTTTTCCTTCTTTTTTTTGATCATGTGATTTTTGGATATCTGAAGGTCACCGTTATGAGACGCTTTGTATTGCGAATGTCAGTGTGACAAAATTCGAAGCTGATAAAAGGGTAAGCACAGGGGGGAAAAAAATAACATATCAGAACAGAACAATCTCCTGTGATTTTGCAGTGTCGGTCCTCTAAGGGCATGCAGCGCGGGCACTGCTGGTGCGTGGACGAGCAGGGCAACACCGTGCCGTCACGTGCCGGGGAGGATGGCATTTTACCATGTGATGGAGAGTGAGGGGAGCGACAGCCCCACAGCTCTGAGCCTGGAGGAAGAGGAGGGGTACAGGGAGAGGGGATGACTTCAGCTCGGTGCAAGACACTGCCTGACCAGGACACACCAGGGATAAACCACTTCACATGGGAACGGGCCCTAACTCAGAACGTCCAGAGCACGTTCACTGCCATAAACTCGACCATCATGAGCATCAGCATCAGAACACAGAAATAATGACCACTACACCACATGAGCTTAAGTCGAGATAGGTCAGCTCTTACAGAGAGATCTTTAATTCCTTGCCCTACAGTAGAACTTCTTGTGTGTGTGTGCGCGCGCGTGCGATAGCTATGTTTGTTTCTCAATGGGCTGTTATACTGTTAAAACCATCCCCTCTCCCCTTCTCCAACAATACACTGACTAAACTATACTTAAGAAAACGGAATATACCTTCTTGTCTAATTTATTCTGGAGCATTACTAAATTTCCTTGAATACTTTCCTTGAGGACCTGTACACATTTGTCATGTAATCGACATCTAAACACTATCATAATGTGCACATTCGGAAAGTACTCCTTTTTCATTCATACGACACTGACTGCAAACACACATCGTGGATTATTTGTACATAAGTGAGTTTATTGTGGTTGGTTGTGTCATGAGGTGGAATATTCTTGAATGCTGATGGCTGTTACCTTTTTTGAGAAGTTGTTAGGCATATTTTTATATATTTCAATATGCTATTTTATATATATATAAATATATATAAATTGTGGATTTATTTAATGAACTACGATGCCATGTATTTTTATATTGTCAGCAGTTTTTCATCGTCAAAACAGAGCTTATTTTATTCGCTAAGTGAATGAGTGCCATATGTTGGTGACACCATACAAAGGGATTAAAAACAAAAACAATTTAAACACCCTTTAGAGAGCATTTACTGCTGTACATGTGTTTTTTATATTATTATTATTATTATTTCTTGTCAGTTGTTTCATTATTTATGTTGATCCTTCAGTATTGGAAAGTGTTATCGCTTAATATCGCTTAATATTTTCAATATTTCAGATTGTATTCTGGGTAATTTGTTCAGAACGCTGTGTTTTCTCATTTCCACAATGCATTGAGAAAAAAAGTGCACAAAATAATGTCTGATCAATGTACCTCACAATGATTTTGTTGTATCAATATATGTGCCAGTAGTTGTGGGCCCTTGAAAAGGAGCCCATTGCAAAAATTATAACGTGTGCAAGAACTATGAAAAAAAAAAAAAAACGGACACAGAGAAAAATAAATGCATATGTTAATATAAAAACGGACTCTTTGCAGAATCTCATTTAGAAACTCACATGCATGAAATTAAATGTGAAAACTACTATCAAACCATATACATGCACCACTGAAATAGATGATAGAAAGCGATGAATTAGCAAAAGCAACAAGAAAGAGCAGATGCTGCTGTTGGCAGCAAAAATACAGCCATATGGTCATAAAAATGTCATCATTCAAATATTGCCTTGTGCATATTGAGCTATGGTGACTGTGCATTTCAGTGAGCCTAGAGCAGATTTTGCTTACTAAAAATGACTGTATGCTGTATCAGGGTATAATATCTTGTTATATCAGCCAAGTAGATACATATAATGTTATTTATACAGTTTATATCATAAAAATGAAAGAGTAAATGTTTTGAATGCTGGAGCTTTTGTGCCAAGACAGATTCATGCACATGTATACTCACACTGCAATCCATATGCTTGTTTCCAAGGTAACAACATAGCCTATAGCAGATTATAGCATATGTCTGTGCTTTCATCATGTCCTAGTTTCTATCACTGTGACTTTGAGAGTAAGCAACATTTTTGTATGCATGTTTTATTCGAGGCAAGGGTGATATGGGCAAAAATATAGGCCTAAATGACATTTTTACCCACACATATTCACGACATTTGATAAAGTCAGTAACTCAAAAAAACAAAAGTTTCTTAAAATGTAAGATTCCTGCGCCACTAGAGGCATCAAACGGGATAATGACTTTTCAAAAGACAACTCCAACTGTCTGTTATTGCGGGAAATACACTTTGAGTGTATTTGAATGACAATATATATATAAAATAAATAAATAAATAAATATATATATATATATATATATATATATATATATATATATATATAATTATGACTGATTTCGACAGCTTTTAGGAAACCGTGAATAGTGCTTACCTGTGCAAAAGATGCATTAAAGACGGCATGGGTGGTTGTCAGGCCGTTGCTACGAGTAATACAAACAGTCCTCTGAGTGACATTTCGGGCATTGTTAATATGCAGGCTTTGGGTAGTTGCTTACTGGCTCGAGTCAAAAGTCCACCCCAAAGGCTCTATTCTGGTCTCCAAACGCCTCGAGTTCCTCCTTCAATCATGACTAATCGTCCTTCGATTTCATTTGAGTTTTCAATCCTGTGACTGGAAGTCCTACTCAATTCAGCGAATCGTTTCTTTCGAACAAATCGTTGATTCTTGATGTCATTACGAAGCACCTGACATATTGGCGTATATTACATGCTCTAAACATTAATTGCAACAGTAGCCTATTATTTATTTTATCATACAATGTTTTTGTCTTGGAAAGTTTCATATTAATGTGAGAAATGGTCTAAAGCTGCCCCTTAGCTATACGCAAAAATATATTTCCTGACAACCAATAGCCAATTTTATTTTTAATAGGCTATATTGAATATTCAGAATAATATATTGTATTAATATATTACAATATATTTAATAATACATAAAGAATGGGCACTTTTGATATATTGAAAAATATGACATTACGAAATGTGTAACTATATGCAAACAATAAAGTGAGATCATAAAATTATATGAATATGTGTTTAGCTTTATGCCTTAAGTCATGTCAGACAAATTAATTAATTTAAAATTCTAGTACAGTTTTTGTCTTCATATATATATATATATATATATATATATATATATATATATATATATATATATATGTGTGTGTGTGTGTGTGTGTGTGTATAGCCATACATGGTTCATGCATATATTGCAGTATATTGAAAAGTATAAGCACTAGTTTCCATATGGAAATGTAGCTATTATGTAATGTATAGCATTTTATTTTCTAGTATATTCCTATTATTTTATGTTTTGTAAGGGAAGCCATCTTTTAAGCAGAATAAACATCTGCTTAGAATGACATTATAAACCAAAAATCAAGAAAGACACATAGCCTAAGTCACTTTTTTAAATATAGGCTAATATAAATAAGGTCCAATTCAGTCCTATTCGTGAACGAACCGATATTGTGAATCGGTTCACCTGAATCATTGAAACGATCCTCTTCAAAATGAACGGTTTGTTTAAATATGCCATTCATGTCACTAGCAAGAACGAGTTTAATAGTTATGGTTAGATAAATACTTATATATTTTTCACTGTCTCATCTCACCTGTAAAACCACATGACGTAGGCTACACTCAGGTGAGATCCTGCCTGACACACATTCCTGCTGTCACAATACATCAAGATCTGTTCCTCTGAACTTGTGGGAGGAGCATCTGGATCACTGCCACACTTCAGCAACCTAGTGTTGTTCACTTCCATGGAGAATCGGTCCATCTGGGCCTGCAAAACACAGCGGAAAACCGGCCCCCGCGGCTTAGCTTAGCGCTTGTGCTGTTCGACCGTTGATTGTCAGTTAGAGGAACCGGAGCAGGGACAGAGGGAGATCCGAGAGGAAAACAGACCGCTGCTGCTGCTGCGTTACAGGGGAGTGACCGACAGTGATGATGGCGTCTCTCAGTAACACCGGCAGCGCCTCCAGCCCGATGGTCATGCTCGCCCCCAAAACCAAGACCAAAAAGAAACATTTCGTGCAGCAGAAGGTGAAAGTGTTCAGGGCGAGCGACCCGATGCTCAGCGTGTTCATGTGGGGCGTTAATCATTCGGTAAGGTGGTCTTTGATTCACTTTACATCCTACAACTGCCATTTTATGAGCTAACAGTTAGCTGCAAGCACGTATATCGGGGATATGAGATATTTAAAGCATTGTCTAAAGTAATATCAATAAAATACATGATTAGTGTGTGCTGTTATTGATATGGTATTGACATATGAGGTCACGCGCAAACCGGATATACATTTGTTTCAATGCACGCGGCGGATTTGCAACTGTTGCTAGCGAGGGATGTCCGATTTGTGAAGGAATTGGTCTTTTGAGTCGAATCTTTGAAAGGATCAGCTAACAGTCTCGCCGATTCCTGAACGAATCACAGACTGAATCGGTCCGAGTCCGACAAGTTCAACCGATTCTAGTCGGCTGTTTAGGGCATGTCTGACTCGTATTGTGAATTTTAGTATAGTTTAGTTGAAATACAAATTACAATTAGATTCTAAACGGGTTTTTTTGTGTGATCTGAATCGCGGCTTCATTGAAATGGCACACATAGCCTCATTCCAAAAAGCACCCATATTAGGCTACTAAACGTATTAAACTTATGTGCCTATATATGACTTTATTGTAACGTTTTAGAGCATGTAATATTCCACTCTGGAATGACAGGGACCACGTAAGATAATAATAACGTCTTGAGGTAAACGAATCACTGAATCGTTGCTTTGAACGGTTCATTGTCACTGTTCGAAAGAACCGTTTGACAAGACTCCGATTTCCCATCACTAACTGTTTCAGAGAAAGTGAAAGTTTATAATCTTAAATTTGTCTCTTCCATATAATATTTTTCCCTATTTATATGAAACAATTTAGTCGAAATACACTAATCAATCATGCAGTCGATCCAAATTATTTAAATGCAGTACAAATTATGATTGAAATTCCAACAGGAATCCTGTACACATTCCTTTAAGACTTTCGAGGGGTTGGGAAGTTATTGCCTATAGGTGAAAGTTTGTGTTATATGAAGCATTTGGTCGTTGCATAATTAGAAGACTGAGAAATCTTCATGCAGGGACTTGTCAGAAGAAGGCATATACATGCAAGAAGGCATATACATTCAGTGTTGGGATATGGATCTCAAATCTGCCAGTGCAAAATTAATTTCAGATGCAAAACATTTTTAAAAAACTTTTTTATTTGTTTTATTTTTACCCACTCTGTTTTCCAGATAAATGATTTAAATCAAGTTCCAGTGCCCGTCATGCTGCTCCCTGACGACTTCAAAGCCAACACCAAAATTAAAGTGAACAACCATCTCTTCAACAAGTATTTATCAAAAGCACATCATTATTTTACACACATTTTCATTGCACAGTGTGTGCTGTGCCTACAGCTGCAGTAGGAACATGTTTACCTTCATTTCGATGTAATGACAGCTTTTCTGCAAAACAGCCACATCAATGCAGCATTTTGTCTTCAGATGATGGGAAATGCAGAGTGTGAAATGCAGTACACTGAAAAGGCTTTCAATGCAAATGTAAAATGACCATTCTGTGCCTTACAGGGAGAATCTTCCAGGCCACTTTAAATTTAAGGAGTACTGTCCACAAGTTTTCAGGAACCTCAGGGAGCGATTTGGAATTGAAGATCTTGACTACCAGGTGACCTTTTTTCCTTTATTTAAAGTGCCCAAGTATGCTATTTTAAAGGTTCCTAGTTTTATTTTGGAGGTCTCCTACTATGCGTTTACGTTACATGCATCCAAAAAACACTTACATTTTCTCACAACATACATTGCAGCATCACCTATTTTCTCACAGTGTTTGATAAAGGATTCGGTTTCTCTAAACTCCTCCTTTCCGAGAGTCTACTCTGCTCTGATTGGTCAGATGACCCAGTCTGTTGTGATTGGTCTACCGCTTACAGCGCGTGTGTCGGAAACAAAACTTCCATTATCATATTGAAACTTTACAGACCTTTAACATTCACAAACAGCTATATTACACATTACATGAAAGTTAATATCCGAAAAAGCATAATGGGTGAAACTTTATAAAAACTATGATGCAGCCATTAGGGGATTTCACACCAGAGGAACTATTGGCAGAAGTACCCGTTTTTTGGCACGTTCACACCGCAGGAACTAGGAACGATTTTAGTTCTAGGAACTCCTTTTGGAGGAATTAATTTAGTTCCTACTTCAGAGTAGGGTCTAAACCAGCACTATAGGAACTACCAGTGACGTTAGTGTACGCTGATTGGCCGAATGCACGAGAAACACCAGCACCCGACCCGCCATTTAAAAAAAAAAAAAAAAGCTGTGTGAACACACAGATTATAGCCTATATATTTACTCCAGAAACTAACTCTACGAACATGGAAAACAGTGATAGATGGGCCTCTTAACCTTTACGCTGAGGAGAAAATCCAAAGCAACTTTGAGGGGCCCAAGCGAAACATGATTATGTATTTCTGTTCAGCTAGCAACACTGGACATCAACCACACGGCATACGCTAATACCTTTTTTCATATACTTTCTGCTTCCTATGTATAACAGATCTATCTAATAACGTATTAGACAGATCGTAAACTAATTAACACGGAGAGTGCGACCAGGTGTGTTCTCAGGCTCTGTCAAAATAAAAGTCACAACAACAAGCGTGGCTTACGTCACTTCAGAGTTCCTACTGGCGGTGCGAATTCAACCAGGGAAATGTTCCCAGGGAAACCATTAGTTCTCGGGGAACCACCCTGCTGGCTCGTTCATAGAACTAAGTTCCTATAATTACCCGGTGCGAAAGCCCCTATTGATAAATCAGCTAAAATGTATTTTATTGATTATTTTCTTGCATATAATATAATATTACTGCTAAATTTGGTCTGAAGTTTTCATGTGCGCATGGATGTTTTCCATCAGGTGTCCCTGGCCCGCAGTGCGCCCATGAAAGGCGATGGACAGGGAGAAGGTCTTCTCTTCACGTCCTATGACCGTACGCTGATAGTGAAGCACATCTCCAGTGAAGAAGTAGCCGACATGCACAACATTCTGTCCGAGTATCACCAGGTATCTCATAATGTTCTGGTCAGGACATTCATGCTTAAGTCAAACCATGAATCATTATTCCAACATATGCAGATAATTAATATCTGCTCAACTGCTGTATCTTTCATGAAAATGTGATAGCTGAGTTTATTAAACGCATTGGTATTTATGTAGGAAGTGGTGTCAGATCAGGTCAGGTAAGACTGCTACAGTCCAATCATCTGTTCAAATGAAATTTATAACTTTTCCATCAAAAACTAGTATGCCAACAAAACTTTTAGGTCTTATTTATTAAGCTTTAGCTTCAAAAATTAAAAACTGGTTGTGAAAAATACAGACACATTGTATTGCATTTGTGATATACTTTGAACTTTTTTGCTGTCTACTTTCTTATACTTATTTGTATGTCATTATACACTGCCCGGCCAAAAAAAAAAAGGATTTAAATAGGCAAATGCTTAAGAGTCTATGACTGGATCGTTATCTCAGTGATTATTATGTTTCTAGCATGTTATATGTTTGGCAACAGTTCTTCTAACCCTAATTGATGGAGTGTGTAGCTTTTCATTTCGTAGACAACCATGTAGGAAGACACATCATGGCCATATTCCAGGATGACAAAGTCAGGATACATCAGGCTCAAACTGTGAAAGAATGGTTGGGAGGGAGCATGAAGAATCATTTTCACACATGAATTGTCACTTTTGAGTCCAGACCTTTGGGATGTGCTGGAGGAGACTTTACAGAGCGCTGGACTCTTGCATTGGCAATGCAAGATCTTGACCAAAAACTGATGCATCTTTTGATGGAAATAAATGTTGTGATGTTATTTCCATCAATTTTTTGGTAAAGATCAACATCCCAAAGACTTTCAATACATTTAAGGTCTGGACTCAAGGTCGCAATTCATGTGTGAAAATGATTCTTCATGCTCCCTCCCAACCATTCTTTCACAGTTTGAGCCTGATGTATCCTGACTTTGTCATCCTGGAATATGGCCATGATGTGTCTTCCTACATGGTTGTCTACGAAATGAAAAGCTACACACTCCATCAAGTAGAGTTAGAAAAACTGTTGCCAAACATATAACATGCTAGAAACATAATTATCACTGCAATAATGATCCAATCAAAGACTCTTAAGCATTTGCCTATTTAAATCCAAACAGCGACTTTTTTGTTTTTGGCCAGGCAGTGTAGTTTACGTATTACACAATTTTGCTTGTGTTGGAGAAATAATCCATCAAAGAATTCAGACTCCAGCTATTTTTATGTTTTGTTTTTCCCAGTTGGGATCCACACGCCCTGTCGTTCATTTCCTCTTTACATTGTCATCCAAACTTGTTCAGTCACTGAAATCATTTTCATGTTCCATCGCACTTCCTTGATATAGGTAAATTTCTCTTTTTATGATTGACAATGAGCTTTGTTGTTCTGGGTGTTTATTTAAAGGTGTAGTAGGTGCAGTATGTTATGTTTATGTTCATAGTGGATACAGCGGTGTGTATAATGACACATATTTGCATGCATATGGCATCGTGATAAAGTTCTGAGTTACCACTGTATAATTATATTCTTAGGTGTGTTTGTCATGAAATGTCTTAAATATAAGGGGACATATTCCTTTAAAAAAAAAAAAAGATATAAAATGTTTTAAGAGCTCTTTAAGACGTCAATCAGCCTCAGTGTGGCCGCGTTCATGTAAATTATAGGTTAGTTTAGCGCGTGTGTTTGCTTCTGGCTTGTTTACAGTGCCGTGACAGCCATGAGAAAAGTATGTGTGAACTTGTTTAACAGTTTCCATTGTAGCTGAATGAGTAGATTTTAATCTAGACTGTGCTTTTGCATTTGTGCTGCCTTTATATTCACGACATGTCCTGAGGGTGCATACTCATCCAGGAATCAGTCTCAACAAAATTGCTATTAAATTATAAGCTGATATTTGCTTTTTAAGTGCTATTGACATGCTTTTTCCTTCATATTACACGCAGCTTTAGTTCAGCACTGCGCTGATATCAAGTTAGTTTAGTTGGTCAATGATGCAGACAGAGAAAAACACTAATGTATTATGCCTGTGGGCTTGTTTTAGTACTGGATACCATATGCTACCCAAAGTTCATTGTTTATGAACTATGTGCCATTGCATGAACATTTTAACCATAAACATTATGGGTAAAGCTCACGAGATGTAATTATTTGTGTTGTGTCTCTCAGCATATAGTGAAGTGTCATGGCAGTACACTTCTCCCTCAGTTTCTGGGCATGTACCGCGTTACGGTGGAGAGTGAGGACACGTACCTGATCGTCATGAGGAACATGTTCAGCCACAGACTCGTTGTCCACAGGAAATACGATCTGAAGGTAGGGGCAGTTCCTCGCTGCTGAGATGTTGCTGATTCATCAGGATGTTTTTGGCTGGTGCTGTGGGACTTAAGTTTTCATAGCATGACTGATATTTGTCGTTGCACATCATTAACTTCTCGAGCAATAAGCAAACAGCACTTAAATCATGCGGCACATCCCCTTAGACCTGGTTTAAGAGATTTAGGTGGAGGACATGATTGATGAGTAGTTCATAAATAGTATCTCAGATGTACCTGTTATTGAGGAACTGAGTGCTGGGTTTCACTGTCAAAGCTGTAAATTGAAACAGTGTATTCCTGTGGAGGAAATTCAACAAAAAAAGGACAGATTGGGCTACACACTTACAATATATATATATTTATATACTGTGAATATATATATATAAATAAAAATTTCACAATTCTGAGAAAAAAAATCACAATTGGGGGATGTAAACTCGGCAGAATATCGAGTTTATATCTCGGAATTGCAAGGGGGAAAAAATGTCAGAATTGAGAGATATAACTTTGAAATAACTTTTACTCTTTTATTCCGTGGCTTCCATAAACTTTTACTGCAGAACTGTCATTTTCTGCCACCAAATAGGCTCCTTCCACAACCATCTAAATGGTCTATATATCCACAGAAGATAAATGTACATGTTTTAATATTTACCACTTCTATTATTGATTGCTATCAAGATGTGAAGAGCGTTTCAACCAGTATAACAAAAAGTGTAATAAAACAAATTGCCTACCCTACCTTTAACATCCACAACCTTGTTTATTGCTATTTTGATTCTGATTGCACTTATGATGCACAACAGATTAAAGCTCCACAACAACTTTCTGTTAGTTAGAGCATCTGATGCTGATACATTTAATGAAAGACACACTCAAGACTGTCTTGAAGTGTCTAACTTTGTGTGTTCTTCAGGGATCCCTGGTTGATCGTGAGGCCAGTGACAAAGAGAAGGTAGGACATCAGTCCAGTTCAAGTTACACAAGACACAAACTCTTCGGTCTTGACCTTCTTGCTTCTTCTAATGCAGGTAAAAGAGCTCCCCACTTTTAAAGATGTGGATTTCAGAAATAACCTGCAGAAGGTGTATGTGACAGAGGAACAGAAAGAGAAGATTATGGAGAAGCTAAACCGAGATGTAGAGGTAAAGAAATGCACAATGAAAATTTAGACTTTTTAATAAATGTATATTTCACACTAGCCACGTTTACATGCACTCAAATAATCTGTTAGCAATTGGATTGATGGGACTGAACAGATTGTAAGGGGCGGTGTACGCCTGAAATTATCCGATCAACAGGAAAAAACCTTGAATCTGACTCTTCTCAATCAGATTATAAAAACATTGTGCACATGTGCAGTGCCATTAGGCATACGTTTACATACATTTTACGTCATACAAAAATGCGTATGATTATTTACATCTAATGTCTTATGAACTGGTCACTGGATGAAACTGAATATTTACTAAATATTTTATTTAAAAAAACTTCTGACACAAATATCAGCTTTCTATTTAGATAGGTCATCAAGGAAAAAACAACAATTTTAATCATAGTGTGAATTGGATTGCAACATTTACCACCGGTTTCACAGACAAGGCTTAAGACTAGTCCCAGACTAAAATGCATGTTTGAGCTGAAAGCAACTTGCACTGACATATCTTAAAATATGTCAGTGCCATTGTTTTGTCTCAAGATGCACACCAGTAATGTTTTTTTTTTAAGGCATGTTAATTAAAGATACTTAAATGTCCTAATTGAATTTACGCCTAATCCTGGCTTAATCTAAGCCCTGTCTGTGAAACCAGGCTTTAGGGTTCATTAAAAAGTCATCTTTAAGGCAAGTCATTTCACTCGGTGGCCATCTTTAAAGCGCCTCTTGATCTTGGGCAGCTATTTCAGTCATGCAAATGCAGTTTTTATCTCTTTGAATTGGGAAACATTAAATTCTCCAAAGCTGTTCACAAAGCTTATGATAAAATTTCAAAATTTTGTTTCTAAACGCTCAAATCATGACAAAAATCTGCATTTTTAAGGCTGGACCAGCCAATGAGCGCCACTGCAGTAAGCGATTGACGATTGGTTCTCTTATTTAGAAGGTGGGGCTTATTTCGCCATATTGCCACTTTCTCCCATTCATAGTAATATGCATAGTAGAGTGCACCGTCTTTGTATATCTAAAGTCTTTGGTTTATAAAAACAACATCCAGAATCTGAAATCGGATTGGATTCATTCCGATTGATGTGCATGTAAACACACTTTAGTTTAGGGTCCAATTCTCACTATTAAATAACGATTAACTATGACTTTTGCCTTAATAAACTCCTAATTATTGCTTATTAATAGTTAGTAAGGTAGTTGTTATATTTAGGTATTGGTAGGATTAAGGGATGTAGAATATGGTCATGCAGAATAAGGCATTAATATAATTTTTTTTCAACAGCCAATATCCTAGTAATATGCATGCTAATAAGCAACTGGTTTAATAGTGAGAAGAATTGTACCCTAAACTAAAGTGTTACCAAACGAACATACCTACTGCACGATGAACCTCAAGAGGTTATGAAAGGGTGATATTAATATTGCCATTAATCTTTCTATGATGATAGTTCCTGGTGAAGCTGAAGATAATGGACTACAGCCTGTTGCTGGGCATCCATGACGTGGCCCGTGGCGAGCGGGACGATGAGGATGCCGAGGAGCCCTGCTGTGAAGATGATGCTGATCCCGAGAACGGCCTTGCTCCGGCTGCACAGGTCGGCTCTTACGGCACGTCGCCAGAGGGCATCGCCGGTTACATGAACTCCTTCAAACCCCTGGGCCCTGGAGAATTTGACCCTTACGTTGATGTATACGCTGTCAAAAGCGCGACAGGTAAGTTCTGGCCTGTGAAACGGAGGGTGGGGGTGGACCCTCCGAAACCCACCCTGTGTCAAGTACTGGCCGGCCGATATATCGCCAAAGGCCGAAAAAGTTTTTCTAATTGGCCGATGTATTGAAAAGGGGACTTTTATTTTGACGGCGCTCCGGAATTTTATTTTGACCGTCGGCGCTGAGAACACCAGCACGGTTTTTGCATTCGAATGTGCAGCTTTTTTTTTTCTTTTCTTTTTTTGACGAATATTCAAATTTGAATTTTTATTTGACAGCGCCTGAGAACGGCAGCGCCTGATCACACAGCGCTCACTCACATTCTCCGTCTTCATTAGTTTACGATCTCTGTCAGTCATATCTAACACTTTGTTAGACAGAACTGGTAAACAAAGAAAGTAAATGGTATGCGAAAAAATAAAGCGTTTGCTTTTATATTATTTGTAACAGAAAAAGCAAACAATCAGGCTCAAATACTTTCTCATTTACCGTCAACATTCAGCAAATGCGCATCTACATCATTTAAACAAATCTCTGAATATCTAATAAACATTTAATTTCACAAACCTTGCAGATTTAATCAAAACTGCTGTGATATCTTGTGAAGTGTGCATTTGTAGCCTGCATAAACGTGTTACTGCGAGTGACAGTCGGTTTGTGTGAAGCGAGTGAATGCGAACAGAAGATCAGCTTTATTTTAAAGATTTGTTCTCTAATTAATTTCAAATTTATTAAATTAAATTTAAAGTGTGTGTGTATATATATATAAAAATATCGGCTTTATATCGGCCTTCGGCCACCCTGCTCTCTAAGATATCGGCATCGGCCATCATAAAAAACAATATCGGTCGACCACTAGTGTCAAGCATGTATGGAAGAGGGAAATGGGAAAGGATGTTACATGTGTGCTTGTGTTGGATTCCAGGAGCGCCACACAGGGAGGTGTATTTCATGGGCCTCATTGACGTGTTGACACAGTACGACACTAAGAAGAAAGCTGCCCACGCGGCAAAGACCGTTAAACATGGCGTAAGTGGAAAAACACTTTTAATGCGGACTTGTCCAATATAATTCTGAGATATGGGAGGTTATAATAACATGACTCATTGTTTTCCTTCCTTTCAGGCTGGTGCTGAAATATCTACGGTTCATCCAGAGCAGTATGCCAAACGATTCCGGGAATTCATCTCCAACATTTTTGCGTAACCACCTCTGGGTGCCCTTATCCACACTTATCACAAGGTCACATTTTACCCCAAAATCAAAATAAAAAAATCTAATTATATTTTGCATTGCAGAAATTAGGCCTATTTTTTTTAGATCCATCAAGTTATATTTCATCGGGACATTATTTTTATGACAATAAATCACATTTGCCCCCCCCCCTCCCCAAAATTGTCATTACTGTAATATGGCCAGATTTCTTTTGTTTTGTTGAGAATCTCATTGCAAGCATTCGTGTACACACACATACACACATACGTTTTATAAAAAATTATATATATATATATATATATATATATGTATAAAATAAAATAAAATACACACACACATACTCATTACAATAATACAGTGCATATACTAATTTTTTTTAATTCAGATATACTTTTTTTTTTTTGCATTATAATGAGAATTTGGAGGGGAAATGTGCTTAATTGTAATGAAAATAATTTGTGAATACAAAAAATAAATTAAATGGACTTAATAGGCTTAATTTTTAAGCAAAATATAATATCTTATTTCTTTCTTTTGAATTTTAGGATGAAATATGCACCGGACATGTTCTTCACAGGCTTTGTCAGATTCACTCTACATGTTTCTGCAGTTTCTATCTACTGTCGTCATATTGATTAGTTGATATCTTTTAGCGCCTGTTGGCTGTGCTTCATATTTTCATATAGTTTCATAACACGATATTTAAGCATGACATGTTGACGGGAACTTCACATTCTCATCCACACTACATCTACTTTCATTAAGTGCATCTTCACAAATTAATAGAACTAGATTCACACGAATCACAACCCATGTGACACAACCCACAAACATGGGAACATTGCCTAATCTTTTAAGGAGATATGACTCCAAACCTGTAGCAGTGACATAACTTGTTCTTGGTGTGCTCTCTCTCTCTCCCTCTCTCTCTCTCTCTTTGGACTTTGGATTGGCAGAGAGAGAATCCACCGCCTTAACCATTTGCTGAACCGATTCTGGAGGAATAGCAGAAACTCATGTTGTCTGATGCTTAAAGTGCATGCTAGCTTCACTTGATATGCAGCACTAGAATGTTGTGAGGAGGGAAACAAGATACTTTGTAAAAAAAATAAAGAAAAAAATAAAAAAGACCAGCTGGGGACCCTAAGTGTACAGTAAGGGTCTAGATTAAAGTTAAATTATGAATTGAATGCTGACTGTTTGTATGAACGGATGGAGCACACACTATTATTTTCTCTTATTTGAGCTATTTTATGCAGTTAGCCTTAATGCCGAAAAGAGGAATTTTGTAGTTTGTAGTAGAAATACTTTAGCAACACAGAGCTGATTTAGTATAAAAAAAATGCCTTATTGTTGCATTTTATTTATTTTGCAAATCAGTGTTTGGACCAAATATATTTTTCAGAGATTTCCAAAAACATGGTTTCTGTTATTTATTCATTTTAGGTTTGTATGGCACAATTATATCCATAACAGTTGTAATTTAAACTGTATTTTTAGAGCTGTTTTAACACCTTAAAATGATGTTACATTGTGCTCACATAATGCACGTAACGACTGTATTTACAATAATGTGCATTCTAAAGTACAATAAAACATTTTTTTTTTTGCTATATATTGGATGAAACAGAAATACTAGATTTGTGTACAGTTTTAGTCAACCGTTTGGACTGCCTATTCATTAGTTATTTCTATTTTCTACATTTTAAAATAATAGTATATTTTTATAAAATAACAAATGGAAGTATTTGCTATTTTATATATATATATATATATATATATATATATATAATGTATATGTATGTTAAAATAATACATAATTTTAGAACTTAAATCAGGCCGTAGTTTAACCGAGGCCTCCGTGATGTCTGGACCCGCATATGAAGAGGGGTCAAGGACAGGATCCACCTAGGCCTTTCCAGGAGCTGTGATTTTGCTGACAAACTCTTTCCTGTCTCACTGACAAAAATATGTACTCTGTCTAAACAATGGGGAGCTTGCAGGGGTGGGGGGGAGCCAATCGTCTAACAAACTGCTGACGGATTCTTGTGGTCGTAGGAGTCGCTGGAACACGGAGTTCAGAGCGTCACATTATTCTCCTTAAGGCTTTTCATACTGTGCTGGGTTTAGGCCAATTTTTAACCCTCGTTTAAAAGAATAGTTCACCCAAAAATGAACATTTTGTCATTTACTCACCCTCATGTTGTTATAAACCTTTATGAATTTCGTTGTTCTGTTGAACACCAAAGAAGATATTTTGAAGAATGTTGGAAACCAGACAGTTGATGGTAGACATTGACTTTCATAGTGGTTTTTTTTTTCATACTATGGAAGTCAATGGCTATCATCTGTCTGGTTAACAACATTCTTCAAAATATCTTCTTTTGTGTTCAGCAGAAGAAAGAAGCTCATACAGATTTGGGGTAAAGCCCTGTAAAAGGCAATCATAAAGTAAATATACAAGTAAAACTGAGGGTTAATATTTAAGTGTGAAAAGCACTAATAGGCCTCATTTGGAGCCAGTTTAAATTTTGACCGCATTTTTTTGCAGATTTGGGCTTTTCAGAATAGCATACTATCATATTCATATCACTATCATACTACTATTAAAAATACTACTCGTAATATTACAAATGCTGTTTTGAAATGGATTTATTAAAACTGGCATCCACTGACTTAAATGCAAACTACAGTAGCAATGTCCCCTGTATGATGATATTGTAGCATACAACGGTTTCAAATGTTAATCTCTATGTGTTGTTTCAGATTAAAAAAAATGTTTTAATAGTAAGTAGTTTGCAGTGTAAACTGCATAATATTCAGCAAGCAGTAATCCATTCTGAACAGCCGTACACACACGAGTCCATACGAGCATAAATTGAAGCGCATTGATGTGACTTGTTTTATGTAAAATTCCGGCAGTAATTTGTCCTGCTCACATTTCATGAATAAGGCCCTTTGTTGCTGATGGACTTGCTATAAATGATCATTTTCAAACTACTGTTAAAACAGAAATGTCTAAACGCTTAAATCAACCCAACCACAACATTTCAAACATTTGTTCTTTGAAGCCATACGCTGTTAGGCAGAAATGGGTGTCTTTTAAGGGATACTCCACCCAAAAATTAAAATTCTGTCATCATTTATTCACCCTCATGTTGTTCCAAACCTGTATGAGTTTCTTTCTTCTGTTGAACACAAAAGAAGATGAAGTGAAGAATGTGAGTATCCAATCAGTTGTCGGTAGCCATTGACTTCCATAGTAGGAAAGAAAATACTATGGAAGTCAATGTCTACCATCAATTGTCTGGTTCCCAGGATTACTTAAAAAAAAAATCTTTTGTGTTCAACAAAAGAAAGAAACGCATACATGTTTGGAACATCATTGGTTGAGTAAATGACAAGATTTTCATTTTTGGGTGAGCTCCCTTTAAGTCAGAATAGATAAGTGATCGTTTTGTGGTGTTCTCAACCTCAGTAGCAGTTGTTGAAATGGTCAGTGTGGGATGCCGGGGGTGTTGAGAGGGGGTTTGATGTACGGCCGGCTTCCTACCTCTCTCTTGCTCTGCCTGCCACTTACTGCCCCTCGACCACCAAAGCATTTCCTGCTATTGTCCTGCTGGGGGCTGTGTTTATTCAGCATATCAGGCACAAACCAGCTAATATTTATTTTTCCTTTTAGACTTTCAGAACTGTGAAAAGATAATCTGGAAATCTCCCAGAGGCCCTAACAGATTTAACTGGTGTTCAGATAAGAACAAAGTAGTCAATCCACGCACATCTAAATAATTCACAGTTGAACTGTGGCGTTTATTATGGTGTGCAGCAATAGGACACAGTACATTTCTTTTTATTTAATTAATTTGTGTAGAGACACCCTGCAGCAAGCACCTAAATTCATAATCATAAAAAGCTATTTTTTGTTAATAAAATTGGACACTCGAACAACCGATTTCTGCTATAATAATCATGCAACTTATCAAAGGTTGCTAATTGTGTTCAAAAATGTGTTGTAGTATTGCTAATATTGCTTCTTAATTATAAATTGCTTGGTTTTGCCTAATTTGCATGTAGATCTCATTGATATGCTAATTAGCACATGTAAAAGCTTATTTTATATACATACAGTATCCACTTTGTATAAAAAATACTACTTAATGATATGTGCAAAATTTTGGTTATTGAGAAAGAGATGTACTGCAATTGTTTAAAACAGTGAATCTCGCTCCAAACACATTAGCAGGCAGAATTCATAATGTGTTTAGCTACCAATAAGAGTATCATGTGCCTGCTCATTAGTACAGATTTGCTGTGCTTGGGGTAACGTGTAACATATACACCCTGGGGCTTGTGCATAATCCTTATTTTGTTGTTGCGCCACACCCTCCTGCAACCACTTTAATTCCATCTTGGCTCCACACGTTGTTTTGACCAATACTCGCAGAAAAACAAACATTCTATCCGGTTATATGGATGATACTGTCGGCCATCAAGAGATTCTCTGAGTCCATCGTGTCAGATTCAACCCCCTCCCGTCCTGTGAGGATGTCCTGTCAGTGTGACGGTGGAGCAACCAGGTGCGTGAGAGGGAGAGGGAAGAGCTTATTTTGCCCCACAAGGCAATGTATGGCTACATCCCACACAACATTCCAGTCAAGCAAAGCCTCCAGTGATATTTTTCCAGGACTGCTTCTACAGAGGGTTCGAACCTGAGTGCCTCATCAGCAGCAACTACACACCAAGGTAGGTCGCCTAGCCCTGTCATTTAGGAAACTATAATAATTTGATTAGCATTGATCCCCGATGTAGTTGCTCAGGATAGGTTGTTCTAATTGGGGAACAAAAACTTAAGTAATCTTTGATATATTTGGTGCCAAACTACTTTTAGAACAGGGGTGGGCAACTCTAGGCCTTGAGGTCCGAACTCGTTAAAAACTTGCTGAGCTGGGAAAGGGCAAAAGGGACAGATTTTAGGAAATAAATATCTGAGACACAATTCTCTAAAAGAAGGGACAGACAACTCGAGGTCCAATTTAGGGTTTAGCTCCAAACCAAAAATCTAGCCAGAGTCTTCAGGATTGCTTGAAAATTAGACATGTATGTTGTGGTGGATTTTTAATAGAAAAGATAGTAAACTATCTTTTAAACTTACCATGATTCTAACATCTAAACTTGACTTCACTTTTTCAGGCCTAAACATTCTATCACTATGAAAAACAATGTAGTAAACGTTCTGTTTTTTTCTATTTGTGTAATGGAACATTCTAAAGTGCTGATGATGACAAATATCAGAAATATACTGTCTGTATTGTGTCATATTGATCAATCAACTGAACTCTTAAAACTTTCCACTTCTTTTTAATGATTCGAGATAGTTTTGCTTATGCCAGTAACAGGTAAAAAAGGTGGGGGCTTGCTTTACAAATTGAACCAATCATATTGATAGAAGGTGACAACATGTTAGTCACGATGATCTTATTTGTTGTGTCTGTCTCTATTCTATAAAAACTGTTGTATTCGTGTTAACTGGTGGGATTCTCTCTGAAATTTGTCTGAGATCCTCCGGCCTTGCTTCTTGGGGGAGATTCTCTGAGAACTGCTCGGGAAGATCTCTCCTGGCCGTGATTAAAGCATTTAAAGGACATTTACTGAAGTCTATCTGTAATTACTGCTGCGCAGTAGGAAGCAAGTCAGATAGGGAAACAAGTTAGAGTTCGGGAACTCAGCTGAAGTCGACTGTAAACTCCCTGGAGACTGTTCGGGAATGTCGATTGGAGACAACCCAGGGAACGTCGATGTGGAGACGACCCAGGTAGACTTAGGTACGTAGTTGGTTAAGGGAAAAATCTACGACAATGTTCAATAAAAGTTAGAGCTAAACTCTGCAGGACAGCATATATGTGGGCCAAAGTTGTTCGGCCCTGCTTTTAGACTATTGTGTGACAAAATGTTTCCACTAAAATCTGTCCCTCTTGCCCTTTCCGAGCGTAGTAATTTTTACCCGTATAATAGGTCAAGTGAACAACTGTCTGTTTCTGTCTGCAGAACATGACCTTCGATCCACACAACTCGACGTACGACTTCTACAACGGCACGCTCTGGTTTGTCAACGAGTGCACCATCCACCTAGACGAGGACGGCCGACGGATCGCTCTTTTCCTCCTTTACCTGATGCTGTTCATGGTAGGGTTGGCCGAGAACACTGTGGTGGTGTGGGTGAACTGGCGTAGGCGGCATTCGGCGAATGGCGTGCTGTTCTGCATCATCAACGTGAGCTTGTCCGACTTAATGGTGATCTTCACCATGCCCTTTTTCATGCTGGAGGTGACCATGAACAAGGTTTGGCTGTGGGGCCGCTTCCTTTGCAAGGTCACGCACCTCGTGTACGTCATTAACTTCTACAGCAGCTCCCTTTTCCTGGCCTTCATGACCCTTGAGAGATACTTGTCCTTGGCACGTCCTAACTCACCCGCCTGCTTTCCCCCAAACCAAAAACGCCGCTGGTTGCTCTGCGCCGGGATCTGGCTCTTGTCGCTCGTGCTGACCTTGCTGGAGAACGTCCACGTTGACCTGCTGGAGTGGGATGAACCGGGCTGCTATATGGTTCCCGAGCAGTACTACACGGAGTGGTTCGTCTCAGTTTCCTTCCTTTGCCTGATATTCCAGTTCCTGGGCCCGGCATCAGTCATCGTCACCTGCAACATCTTGATCGCCCGAGCCGTCCGCTCATCCCCGGACATCCAGAATCGCCGGGACGTGTGGTTGGTGCATGTGTACTCGCTGGTCTTTATGGCCTGCTGGCTACCGTACCATTTGGTGTTGTTCTTGTTGACAATCGACGACCTGGATCCGCACCTGTTCTCCTGCAACACGGTCGGGGTGCTGTACTTCTCGTTTAGCCTCGTGCAATGCTTGTCGCTCTTTCACTGCATCGCCAACCCAATCCTCTACAACTTTCTCAGCAAGAGCTTCCGCAACAATCTAATAAATACAGTGATCAGCCGCATCTCTTCACCGCCGGCCAGCACGCCAGCTAATGCGGTAGCCGACAACACAGGGACGGCCGCGGTGAAAGAGCGGAAGCTCAGCAACACCAGCACGAGCCACTCCGACATTGGCGCGTGAAGAGGGAAACTCCTAAATGACGATTTTGTGAAGCAAAGCACATGAAATGGCCTTGTTGAGGCAGATGTTTTTGGTCATTTGCTTGGTAACTAGCCATATTGTCTCCTGTTTTTTTTTTTTTCACCTCAGTATTGTTAACAGTGCAAGGAAGGAAATATTGTCAACCTTTCGAAACCTTTATTTCCACCGGTTCCTTTTGTCATATCTAGGAACTCCGTAATAAAAACCCTAACCACATGCCAGTGTTTGTACAAAGACTGTTTTGATTGTTCTACTCGACAGAAACTTTCACCTAGTCCATACTCTCAATCACAACACCTATAGTGATGATTAAATGGCTTTTTTGAGCTCAGCAACTTGTTTGTACATATTGTAATGGATGTGATGTCACAAAAATGTTATACAATTTATTTTAAAAGTCATGTTTGAGTGAAAGGGGGAGCGAATCGTGGAGGCTAATGTCATTTTGTTTTTGAGCATGTCCTGCACTGATGTCTGGAAAATTATTATCCATCATAGTAATGTTTGTTGAATATAAATACACTATAAATACTTTTAACATTGATAATCTGTGGTCTTGTGTTCAAATTCTGTGAACATGATCAAAACCTCACTGTTAAAAAAAGACAGGACTCCCTGACTAGTTTTGTAAGTACCGTTTTTATTCAGAAGACAAGAACAGCTGTAGTAAAAGATAACAGATTTCTGATCATGACACTGAACATATATAAATTATATAAATAACACTGAAGTTATATAAGGCAATTGTTTCATGAAGAAAATAAAATGTAGCATGAACATGACATTCCTATCAAACGTTCAACATCAAAGAGAGTAGCAAAGAAAGCACTGATAATATGCATTTTCTTCCTAAAAATAAAACTGACTGATTGATAAAGGTGAAGTAGTTGATAAAACTAGGCAATAAGGCCATTCTCTTCAGCCATTATTTTTCTGTGGTACATTGCAAATAAGGCTATAACAAACACAACGTCCCAGCAGCTTTGAATACATACTTTGTGGTTTGACCAATAACATAAATTATCAATGGACCAGTGTGCCAAATCAATTTTGACGTGAACAAAAAAATTATTTAAACGAACTATGTAAAAGTATCCCATTTAAGAAAGAAGTGTACTAAACAAAAAGGCATATAACTGCTGGGAAAACGATACAGAAGAACATTGCATCTTTCAGAAAATACCGGTAATTGCTTTTATTCATGACAATACCATTTGCACAAAATACTGATATGTGCCCAGTGAAGAAGGTGAACACTGCCATGTGAACCGACTGATATTTTAGCACCTCAGTCTGACTCACTTCTCTTTTCTTAATTTTCCGATTGAAATGAATGAACAACGTTTTAAGTGTTTTGCTTTGTGCACAACATACAAACTATATGATACTGCATCTCATAACTATTTCTAATTTAGTCAACGTCAAGTGATACACTGCACAACTATAAAAATAACAACTATTCTGTAAAAGAAAAGTACCTTTATTTTATTTTTTAAAAAAGGACCTTTTTATTTATATCCTTGACCTACAGCACTGCTTTATTTATCAGAAAACGTAGAAACAAAGTCTTGGTTTATTCTCAACTTGCGCTTGCGTCGTGAAAGAACAAAGGTTACTTTGTGCTTTTCTAGAATAACCAGAGACATTTAGCTTATTGTGATAGAGTTGCCGGAAGAGTATAATAGAGGTAATCGCACATCAGCACTTGGAACCACATCCTGTTAAAAAAAATGACTTTGTTATTAAAACACTACAAATCTTTTTTTTTTTTTACTACTATGGAAGCCAATGGGTCCATCAACTGTTTGATTATCATCATACTTTCAAATATCTTTCTTTGTGTTCAACAGCAGAAAGATACTCATACAGGTTTGGAACAACTTAAGGGAAAGTAAATGATGACAACATTTTCATTTTTGGGTGAACTATCCCTTTAAATGGCTGAAAATAATAATGTGTTTATACATGGTTCTTCAAAACTGCATTTTTTGGTAATTGGTCATTTTAAATGAACGAGTTTGACCATAAAAGTGCCAAACAGTGCTCAGCACACGTGTAAACTCATGGCCTGGTTAAAACCAGACCATTCTCAGTTGTAACTGAGTTATGGTCTGGCAAAGCGTCAGACAAATCATTTCCAGAGGGGCGTCACCAACGGACGTCGCGGATAGACCTAAACCCAATCAGAGCGATGAAGGAGATGACGTATGCAGAGCGGTGGAGAAACATCTCCGAGTGTTGTTCTTTGCTCGGTTTTTAACTAAAAGGAAACGTTCAAATCGCTTAAAACAGACGCGATAGCTGATTCGAACGAGTGATGTTCGACGGCGGCATCCATCTTTGTAATGTAGGCGTCAAAATCCCAGCGCTGTCGTCATCGTGTAAAGCCCGCCCCGACGTTTCTGATTGGTGCCTCGATTTCGACGGATTGGAAATGGGCTTGAATGAGCTCTTTGCCAGACTAACTTTCAGAGCAAATCTAAATTTGCCGGAAGTTGTCTGGGTTTTCCCAGGCTCCTTCAACAGTGTTCAAACACTGCACCTCGTGACGTTCTTGGCAAAAGTTTGAAGAAGCTACAATATAAGATCGTTTGATATGTTTTTTTTATTCCATACCTTTGATGACTTTATTATTATTCTAAAATGTAAAAAAAGAATGGAAATAATAATTAAAAACGAAGAGGTGCGTCCAAACGTTTGATCGGCCGTGTAACTTTGCTCAGTCTCTCTTGCCATCAAGTGGTCAAGAATCAGCACTACATTTTTAAAATAAAGTTTTACCCTTAATTTAGTCTTTAAAAAACAAGAATCAATCTCATTCTGTATACAACAACACAAAGACGATCACATTAAACACTTCATTACATTCTAGGTCTACGGTCACTTGTCCTCGGCAACTTACTGAGTAAGTAAATGTGGGCACACAGTGTGACGGAGAGTTCGGAGGGCAACGTTGTTCAGGTGTCCAGGTTTGGGACGGGCTCTTTAGAGTGGTCGTTATACATGAAGGTCTCCTCGATGTTAAAATCGGGCGGCAGCTGGTCTTTATGGACCTCCATGTGCGAGGAAACCATTTTAAGCGTGGAGAAAAACAATCCGCAGACGGTGCAGCGGTACATGAGGGCGCCCGAGTGCGTCTTTAGGTGGCAGATCATGGTGGATCGGCCACGGAAAAAGCGCAGGCATACTTTGCACTGGTAGGGCTTCTCACCCGTGTGGATGCGGAGGTGGTAGGTGAACTCGCCCGAATGTGCGAAATGCTTGCCGCAATACCGGCATCGATACACTTTTTCCCTAAGCCCCGTGCCAGCACCGGAGTTGCCGTTCAGTACGAGTCCGGCTGGAAACGGGACGCCCCCGTGAGCCATTTTGTCCTGCAGGTTGAAGCCCATGCTCAAATTGAAACCTGCTTTACCCGAGCCGCTCGCCTCCAAAGACGAGGAGGAGGAAGAGGAGTATTCGATGAGCTGGTCTGCCTTGCGCTTGGCCGGCCAAACCTGGCCGCCCTGGAGCTCGTTGGAATGCACGCTGAGATGGTAATGAAACGCGGTTTCGGAGGGGAAGGTCTGCGGACACAGGAAGCAGCGCAGCTCGGCCTGCCCTTCTCCGCTGGTTTCCGGACTGCCGTCGCCCCGTTTCGCTGACGCTCCTTCCTCTGCGTGTACAGACAGGTGTCTCTCCAGCAGTGCACTCTCCAGGAAGGGGTTGGCGCATTGTGGACAAGTGTAAATTGGAAAAAGGTGTGTTAGTGTGTGCCACAGGAGGGCGCATCGAGAGGGCTGAGACAGCTGGCATACTCCACAGCGTAACGTCCTCAAGCATGCGTGGCTCTGAACGTGGTCCCTCACCGCCTGAAGAAAGTGAACAAATCCATCATTAATTTAGACAAATCAATCAAATTAATTGACATATTAAAGTTAAAAGAAACTTTCTGAACAATATCATTTTTCTAGTCATAAAAATATTGCAATATTACACACTAATCTACAAAAGTTTGATAGTTGTGAATCTCACTGAAGTAATTTTCTTCCTTTACCAATACAAGTTAGTACCAACAGAGTGGTAGCTCATATGCGATATGATATAATATTAAATAAAAATATTAAATAGTTTGGTTGCTGTAATATTTACTCTATTATTTGATACAGCTGTTTTATCTGTTTACTGTCTACTTGAGTAGCTGAAAAACTGTGAAGCAATGTTTACTTAGAATATTTTGAATTTCTCTGTACATTTTACTTTTTAATATTATGTTTATATATTTAATATTAGTAATATAATTCATATATATATTTCATAATGATTAATTACCTGTATATAAAACATAAATATAATGTTTAATTTATTAATAATTATAAAATGTAGCTTTTTAAAACATGTTACTTTAATATTATTCATATACTATTTGAGTATTTATCAATATTTTGATTTTATATTATATTTTCATTTTAGTTTGTGCTTTTGTCATTTGTATTAGTTTTTATATTTCTATTTAGCTGTAATTTATTTAAAGTGTGCAAGACTGTCCCATGTCTAAAAAATGCCAAAGTGCAGTGCCCTTAATGCACACTAAACCCACACTAATGCTGCATCAGACTGGTATTCAAGGCTAAGCATATATCACATCATGCATTAGGTTCCCTGAAATCATGTGCCCTGAAATCGCGAGATAGAGAGGAAAACATTCTATTGCAAGTTAAATTAATTAGATATTACATGTAATTTGGTAGTAAAACAAGTTTTTTATATAATTATTTATTATTAAATTTCAGTTTTATTTCAATTAATGATTAAGGCACAAGCATTATGATTCAAAGTTGTCACGTTGCACCTGATTAGGACACGGTATAAGGCTTATAAACAAAAAAAATGTATGCTCCACTAACTTTGAAATCATTTGCCATGGTTTTAGCACAAATGGTGCACTGCAGTTCCCCTCCTTGCCCTTGGGAGGCCCTGTTCAGTTGGTCGGGATTTTGAGGGACACATTTGGCTGCTGACTGACGTCTATGGAGAATCAATGCGGACTCGGTCCGGAATTGGTGCTCACAAACGTCGCAGGAGAAGAGCAAGATGCCCACGTGTGTGAGGGCGTGTGCGACACCAGCAGAACGGTCCGAGAAGGAGGCGCCACAAACTAGACACGAACCCGTTTCCGAGAGGTGCGTCTCAGCGTGAGTTCGTATGATGTCGTTTTCCACCGGAAGCAGCATCCCGCACGATTTGCATGGGTGCGAGGACGCCAACTGGCCAAGAGATACCCCGTTTTCACCGTTCTCAATGCACATCAAGTCCTCGTCGTCCTCTTCCTCCACGATGAAGTGCTCCTCC